AAACAGATGCCTCACAGGTCCTCAACTGGCAGCTTCATTAAATAGTACCCACAAAACACCAGTCTCAAAGTCAACAGTGAAGAGGCGACTCCGGGATGCTGACCTACGTGGAGTTGCAAAGAAAAAGTCCAATGTCTGTGTTTTTTTGCCCATCTTAATCTTTTCTTTTTATTGGCCAGTCTGAGATATGGCTTTTTCTTTGCAACTCTGCCTAGGTCAACATCCCGGAGTCGCCTCTTCACTGTTGACGTTGAGACTGGTGACAGCATTCTTACATAGGTTCTCCATACTGGAAATGTCATTTGCTGTGGAAAAAAAGGGGAAAACTTGCAAGTCATGCTTGATGTTGTACAAAGTAACACTATGTTTAAACCATCATAACTTTTTATAGGATCCAGTTAAACATAATGAAGTGTACTCCAGAAATGACAAACAATTTATGTAGATGCTATCTATGGCGTGACATTCACCATCAGTGGGTTTTTGTACTTTTCCCAACACAAAACTTAATTTCAACCAGCTTTGTCCCTGGATGGTTTGAGACTTTTGGTAAACTTCAGATAAGATAAAATATTTGACTCGACACATTAATATAGTACATGCCCAACAACTGAATTTGTTGTTTTTATGTAAATATTTTCCCAAAACAAACTATGCCAATCCTCCTCCTCACGCACTTATCTTATCTCACCACATCAAACCTGTTATTAGTCTTAATCCATCAAGGTCTCGCTGTTATGAAGCCAATAACTAGGCAACGGATATTGTTGCACTCGCTTTGGCTAGGGGTCCTAGGCCTACTTACATGGTCTGTAACCTGAATGAATGTGTACATTATTTTGAGAAATCAGCATACAGTATGTGCCTAGGTGTTGAATGTACATGTGCCCAGGGAGACAGCAACCTTACCTTGGTCCAGGGCCAGCTCTGTCTCTCTTGACCTCGTGATCGGCCAGTCCAAGCAGATAATTGTTGGTTCAGATGGTGATGAAACATTAACATGTACAAAAAGGAATGCCCAAACTAAATATTCAAAACCAAACGAAAGGCCTCATGGTCACCAAACAAACCCAAAAGCCTCACGGCTTGCCAGCTGGTACACTGGCTGACAATCACCCTAATTAGCAGCACCTGATGTGTTTATCAACCAGGCTCAACACCTGGATAAGGTTGCTGCTGCCCCCTGGGGGAATGGAGGGTGGAAGTGTATCCTGGACAGTGTTTGTCTATGTCCTAACACTAACCTTGTACCTACAGTATATTATAACACTCACTCATCAAGTCTTACATTCCATTACATCTCGCTCTCCAACCATGCTGGAAAAACCAATTTGACCAACTGAAGCTGGTGACCAGTTTGACCATCCTCAAGACCATATCATAGCCTAGAATTTAAAAATCTCCTACATGTGGATATATTTGCCCCTTTAAGGAGGGTTCAACATTTGATTTATAATAATTATATTATGCTCTTGTATCCTCCAGACCTATTCAATGAATAAGCAACTATAGCTTAAAACAATGTTCAACATTCTTTATTTTTCTCAAGGAATTGTATTAATTTACTGCTACAGACATACAGTATCATAGACATTAAGGGCTGTTGTAGTTGGACTTGTTGCATAGAGCACCTTTTATATGGACTATAATTGAGATTCTGTCTATATTGATATACACTTGCCCTCAGTGGAACATAAAAGGGTAAAATCCTATGTGAAACCAATGTGTGATTTGATTGTATATCACGTGTGATCACAAGTTTTGAAGTGCTTAGACTGTTAAAGCTAATGTCCTCCAGTGGGTGGCAGTAAAACTCATGAAATAATCACAATCTTATATTTTGGTCATTTAGCAGACGCTCTTATCCAGAGCAATTTACAGTAAGTAGTACGTCGAAACCCACAACCCTCGCGTTGCAAGCGCCACCCTCTACCAACTGAGCCACACAATCAACCAGGATGAAATCAGACATTATGCGTATTACATGATCTAGATACTGTACGCAACTGTCTAGGTCTACTGAAGCAGGAAGAATAATAACAAGAGCCACAGCACTGACGTTCTTTAAATGTCACATTTAATGAGTTTCACCACTGTACTTAAAATCTACACTTTTAGAAACCGGACATTTTCCCCAACACATTAGAGCATATCCGAGGAGTCATTTCCGGTCTCAACTTCACATTGGCTTTAAGGTCCTTGTAAGCAAAGCTTTATAGATATATTTATCGTAAATTGTATTCAAATTACATTACCTCTGAGTATAAACTTCAAATGTCTTATAAAAATGTGTGACAGCACAAGTAGTACCTATCCAAATTTTGTTCAAATTAGTCTCTCTCACAGCACACACCATCATATTTCACTCTGCTTTGTTATTTTTTCTACACATCTAAAATTTGCATCAGTGGGTTTTTGTACTTCATTTCAACACAAAATCTCTTCACACACATACATTACACAGGGAGACAAGGGGGGTCATAGCCTATCAAATATATGACTCAGCGTCAACTAACAGTCTGGAATTGCTTGGCTATTGATAGGGTATTTTAATACAATGACATGATAGGATGGATCCCACCTCTGGCAAATTTAAAATTGTTTTTCAAATGAGTGAAAAAGAAAACTAGCAGTTTTTAATATATATATATATATATATATATATATATATATATAAAAGCTGTAAGGGATATTCAAGTTTTATTTTTAATTCTCCACATGAAATGATAAACTTGTGGAGGTAAACAAACCAAGTAATTGAGCTCAAGAGGTAGAGACCAACATTGTGATTCCTTTATATACATATACACACAATAGTAAAGTGTTTCTCTAAGGTAGAAGAAATAATAATAATAATAATAATAATAATAATAATAATAATAAAATAATAGTATAATAATGACAATAATAATAATAAGTAAAAAGCCTTCTACTTCAATATATCCAGAGCTCTGCAGTACACACAAGACACAATTAACATAATTGGTTGTGTTTTTTCATTTGTTTTCTCAATCATTTTTGTTTTGGATTATTTTTGTCTTCTACACACTCTAGTACAGGGGAAAACATAAAAAATACTAAATAAAATATATACATTTATATGCAAGTCTCAAAAATAAAATAAAATGCACTGCCCTAAAAATGTGCAGGCTATTACACCTTCTATACAGCAGTATTGTTTTGAGTTTTCATTTAATTAATTTTTTCCTCCATTGTAGATTTTGTTTTAAATCTATTTGTTTTTCATGTATTTACATATCAAATTCCGTGGATCATGAGAAAGCATGCCATAGAATGTTGACTGAAAGAAATAAAAAGAATAATCTAAAAATATATTAAATAGTTTTCTTCTGAGAGTTTATTTTATTGTCGTAGGTGCAGGTGTGGGTGACATGAAACATCACTATGGGGAGTGAGGCTTGAAGTAGACCTAATATTACTGGATACATTTTTTAATTGACCTTATTCATTGATGGTAATATCTTTGTCACCATTCCCTTGATAAGGTCACACCCCCTCACCAAAGAAACTCACTGTAGTTAGTTAAACATACTCATTTGCACGTGACAGGACACACGTTAAAGCAGCACGCACACACTCCTGTTGTTGGAACCCTACGGAATAAAAAATTAATCAATGTCTTCAAGGAATGGCAACGTCCCCTCGTATCATCAAACATCTCTTTTTTTAAATCTTGGTTTCGCTTTCTCTTTAGAATAATTTAATTATTTTTGCTTGTCTGTCTTTAACTAGGTATGTATTGACAAAACATGGACATACAGTGTATGGTAGGACTATAGATTCAGCAGACATGGCAGGGGAACCAGTGAATGTCTGTATCCCCTACACTCTTATCATGCCTGTTCATACGGTACGTTTAACAGCAGATTACTTGAATTCGGTCACTCACGTCTCCAGAGAGAAAATGCAACGACCAAGTACCACCCCAACATGGCCTTCTTGTTCCTGTAGCACAAAACCTGTGCTGAATACCACAATGTTAACATGTACCCTAAACTACTTTCTCTCTGTCCCCCAGCATGTTACTGTACTTCTAACCAGAGCGGAGGATCACTTCAGCTCTCAGTGGCGCTTCTTTCCCACTAATTGTCTATTCTTTGAAGCAACCACATTCCAGGGTTACCTCATTTTACCCCTCACAGCACCATACTTCCACATGCCCATATTTGGGTTAGTCGTGCGAGTGTGTGCCGTGTGGGATGTGAGGGGTTCTCGCCATACGCATCGCAACCAAGTGGCATGCAGAGCACACATCTCTTCACAAATACTGACTTCTAACCCGGGGGACAGCAGCCACAGAACAAACAGCAATAGAGAAGAAAAAATGTAACAAAACAAACATTGAAACCCGCTGACTATACTGTTTAACAGTACACAACAAATAAATAAAAAGCATAATCTCTAATTGAACGCTATGATTTCTCGGGGAGGAGGGTTTAGCTAGCGTGAGTAGGTACTGTCTTAAATCTTGTGCTATACATAAAAAGAACACCCTTTCCGGACCCCGTCTCCCTCCTTTAATAAATAAATGATGATTATGCATGTATGGAAGTGGATGGGAGCTGTGCATTGCCCTCGGGGACTGCGGGCAGAGACTACGAGGACTCTCTGTAGCCTTCTGCCTCGGTCTCATCCCTGGCTTTACACACACTTTCAAGCCCATGAGGGTGGCCCTTATACCAGCTCTGCACGATGTTTGTATGCACATGTGTGTGTGCATCCATTTGTAGCTTTGCATCTACAGAGCAGTGTGGACATATACTTGCATACATAGCACACTCTAAAAGTCCCTCCATAACCCAGTCAGCAGTGGTTGGTTGGGTTCATTTTAAAACTTCATAGTTAGTATTACAGTACACACACAGTGGACAGTGCTAGTCCTAGACTCCAGTGAAATGCTACGCAGTTTGGGGGTTTCTTCTTCTTGTCCTCAGTAGTCCAGCGCGGGGGCGTGGCCCAGACAACAGCTATTCCCACACCAGAGGGGACGGGGGCATCTCAGAGGGCTGGGCCACAGTGGAACTGTCAGGGAGAGACGGGAGAGAGAGACAGCGAGAGAGACGAGCAAAATAAATAAGAGGAAACAGAGATAGATGAGGGGACAGGGAGAGATGGAAAGATATGGTCAGTCACTGGCACTGCCGCCGCACCACCACTTTCTGTGTTAGTGAGCAGCATGCATCTACTGCAGAGGACCTGCAGAAAAAGCTATTAACTAATGCACCAAATCCTTCACAATAACTCTCAGCATGTTGGCTGGCTGGCTGGAGGCAGGAGGGAAACTCACAAATCAGATGTTTTAGGCCGGGTAATAACGAACTGCAAGGAGGAAAGCTGGCCAATGGAATGGACTGTTACTGTTCTCGTTGTGACACAGAAGTACACAGGTATCAAGGTGTGACAGGTAGATTAGCTAAGGGAAGGTAAACTGACATGCTCACAGGACCAGGTCAAGTAGGGTTAATGTCGTCTAACAAGCTATCAAGTTTCTAAGAAGTGGTTCGCTTTCAAACTACTGTAGCTTAAGTCCAAAAATCCAAACAATGAAGAATCCGGTGGTATCCCCCGGCAGAGGCCTCTAGTCTTACCTGATAAAGCTTTTGAAAGCGGCTGACTGGGGGTTGATGCAGAGCGGCACTCTGTTCCCCTTCTGCTGCTCCAGGATGAACTGGTGAATGATCTCTGTGGAAGACAGAGACAGAGTCATACTCAGGGAGACAAACCTAACACACTCTTTAGAGTCACACCGAGTTTCACAGTAAGCTTTTTAACCGGGGTTGACTTAATGAGTTATACAGTATGTAGTGTTTGTTTTTTAAATCGGTAAAGATCTATTTCGAAGTGTGGCTCTTCACTTATAAACACCTGGTGTGTATTTAGAAATCCTGTGGTAAAATGGTACTTGCATTATAATGATCTACTGATTATTATGCTTCATTGGGATTCATTAAAACAAGCTTTGTTGCCTAGCTACCACTTAGGACCAGGTAAATAGTTGAAATAAGTACCAGAGTACAACGTAGCACAATGTCTGTAGTAAAAGTAAAATGCTATTCATTTGTCTTTGTTTTTGTCACAGGCCTACTCCAGGATATCTTGCACCTGCACCAAGGTTTCAGATGTATTGAGTTATGTTCTGTCATTCATCACATTCCTGCAAACTCCAGCCATCTGTCTTTTGCTGCAGAGGTGGAAACTGTGATTGCATTACACAATTGACGACAAATCATCTTAACATTTCAGCCATTTTTACCAGTATGAGCATGTACGTTTGTGTGTATATGTGCACACACCAAAGGGCCCTATAGGCTAGCGACTAAAGTGGTGCTCCAGTGTCAAGGGCAGCAGTCTGTAAACAGCTTGGAGTTAGCCAGCAGTTAGGCTACCACCAGGCAGGGTGGCTAATCTCTCAGTGGAAATAAGGGGCAAGTGGATAGAGAGATGGGGTGAGGAGGTGGAGGAGAATGGGGGTGGGGAGGAAGAGGAGGAGGAGGGAGGGAAGAGGGTTGGGAGGAGGAGGGAGAGAAGGAAAGGGAGAGAGAAGGAGGGTGAGGGAGAAGGCCAGGTTTATTTCGACCCTCCACCAGAGTAAGCCTGCTTTTAGAAGACAACCTCACTAGTACCTGCTGACAGAATAGCCCACCACTGATCTGGGTCTCCCTCTATGTAATGATCATGCTGTTTAATCAGCTTCTTGATATGCCACCCCTGTCAGGTGGATGGATTGTCTTGGCTGAGGAGAAATGCTCACTAACAGGGATGGAAACAAACTTGTGTACACATTTAGAAATAAAATATTTGTGCGTATTGAACATTTCTGGGATCTTTTATTTCAGCTCATGAAACATGGGACCAACACTTCACGTTGCATTTATATTTTAGTTCAGTACAAGACAACTCAAGAAATCTGTCATAAATGTTGACGTTTTTGCTGAAGAGATCTTAGTTGTGTAATTTGACATCTAATGTAATGTAAATCTAACTAAGATGTTTCGTGCAGTATTTCTCAACGAAAAAATGTGCATGAAAATGATTCGTCTCTCATTGAATGACAACAGAGTTTATTGAAGAATCCCTACTGTTGACCAATCACCGATGAAGGGGCGTAGACTTCGGCTACAGACTTTGGCTTGCTTTGAGAAAAACCCTTCCGAACGGTTTCGGCTGGGAAGCATGCGGATGCCTTAACACACACAGGCATGATCTGCACATGGTCTCAGAGCTGATTGGATTCAATTAGGACCTCAGGTGTCTGTAAAGCTGTCTGTTTTACAATAATTGTGGTACTAGGTTAAGTTGGGATAAGGCTTTCACCATGTATGCAATGGATGGATGTCTATCTATCACCCATTGAAACTAATTAGCTTTAGCTAAAGCTGCCTCTCTTTGCAAACCCAGTGGAAAAACATAACCCGGTAACATGAAGGGGATAAAAATGGATGCAATAGAGATGCCTAAGACAGAAGATAAAATAATAAAACAACAAAACTTGAAAAGGGCTAATTCCCACAGCACTACTCTGCCCTCTGCTGGTTGGTCGACAGACTCACCTTTGACCTGTCTGACGGAGGTCAGATTCTTCTCGAAGCCGTCGTCGAACTTGGGGTTGGTGACAGGCTCGAAGTCGCTGGTGTAGACTCGGCCAGAGGAGGTGGTGTAGCAGCACTTACACATGCAGGTGTGATACCTCAGTCGGCCCTCGTCCAGGTAGGGGTGGGCCAGGGCATCCTTCGCTGAGATCCGTTTCGACTGGGGGAGGGCCAAACACACACTGATGTACACGCACTGATGTACACAGACTACACACACTGATGTACACAGACTACACACACTGATGTACACAGACTATACACACTGATGGAATACATACAGGACTATGAAATCCCTCCAAATCAAATGGTCTGTTTGATAAAGCATTTGCTGTCTCTCATAAACAGCAGTCTACTGCACACTCTCTCTCTTTTGAGGACCACATATTAAAACTAGACCTTGGAATCAAACCAAATCAGCCTCAACTGAATAACCATCTGACTAGTCAGCAATATCCCACTGACAGGTGCCAGACTCTGAGAAATACTACCCTCTAGTCTAGATACTTTAGTTTATTTAGTAAATATTTTCTTAACTCTTTCTTGAACTGCATGATTGGTGATGGGTTTGTTATTAAGCATTTCACGCTAAGGTCTACACCTGTTGTATTCGGCGCATGTGAAAAATAACATTTGATTTGATAAAGATGCTTATTTCCACATTACAGATCTCAATAAGACAACCCTGTATTCAGTAGGCCTCGATAACTCAATGTATTTGCCCCCATCATCACCATAAGTCAGATTCCTCCTAATCTGTTAGTGACAGAGCTTCAGAATCATTACAACTGTGTTCATACAGTTTGTCTAGGTAGTTATTGTAGGTTATTGTAGGTAATTATTGTAGGTAAGTATTGTATTCGGCAGAGCCCGGTGAAGCACAAGGCTAGCTAACCCACTACTTGGACCTATAAAGCTAGCTAGCTGGCGGGTAGCTATTGGTAACTATTAGCAACTGTGGATAGTTGTTTCCAATGTTCTTTCACGCTTAAGTGTACCTGTAATTATGCCAGCTAGCTACCTACCATTCAGCTGTTTTCTAACCTCATTATCTGAAGCGTTAACGTTAGGTAGTTAGTAGCTACTGTACTCGAAATGTAGCTAGCTTGGTGCTACCTGGATAGCTAACTAAACAATAGCTGGAACGACCTAGCTGTAATATTTGGAGACGCTTTCTCTCCGTTGGGACAGACGTGAACTGGCTAAATCGATTCAGTGGCTAGCTATGCACTTAACTGGCTAACAGTAGCTCCTAAGGGTAAGTTATAACCTATATTTATTTTTGTTTTGTTTTTACATACTGGTAACAAGAGTCGTTCAAGGGAATTCGGGACATGGGTGACTAGTTAACGCTAGCTTGGCTCTCTCTGTGTGTTTCGTGCCGTCGGAGGAGGGGTGGTTCGTTGGTAGAGAGCAATGGCTAGCTAGTATGCTAACTATTCTAGCTAACTAACTGGCTGAATAAGTTGACGACGTACTCACTCAAACTGTCAAAACTAACCCAAAACTTTACACAACATTAGACACGGACACGAATGATCTGTTTGGCGTGTTAACATACTGGTTTATTGTAACCGAGTATTGGTGCTAAACCGTGTTATTGTTGGCTGGCATGCTAGTTGGCTATGGCGTCATAGGATTCGGTGCCCTGGAAGGTTTTCACGGAAGAATACTGTACCAAGTTAGCTAGCTGAATAAACTAAGTTAGAGTCTATTCCTAGAAAACATTGAACCACTGTAGTTTACAACAATTATAATTTCTAAAGTGGAAGTTGGGAGAGTTATATTTGAGTGTTTCAGTGAAACGTAAGTTAGGGAGGCCCCGCTCTCTCGCTTTCCCAGGTGTTTAGTTCATTTCATTCCGATCTCCTTTGCATTATTGTAGCCTTTTTCTGTAGCCTGTCAACTATGTGTCTGTCTATCCCTGTTCTCTCCTCTCTGCACAGGCCATACAAACGTTTCACACCGAGTGGCTGCTGCCACTAATCTGGTGGTCCCTGCACGCACAACCCACGTGGAGTTCCAGGTCTCCGGCAAATCTGGAACTGCCGTTCTGCGGCCAACAAGGCAGAGTTAATCTCAGCCTATGCTACCCTCCAGTCCCTCGACTTCTTGGCAGACGGAAACATGGTTTACCACAGAAAACACTGCTACTCCTACTGCTCTTTCCTCGTCTGACCATGTGTTCTCGCATACCCCGAGAGCATCTGGTCAGCGGCACAGGAATCCTCATCTCTCCCAAGTGGACATTCTCTCTTTTTCCCCTGACCCATCTGTCTATCTCCTCATTTGAATGCCATGCTGTCACAGTCACTAGCCCATTCAAGCTTAACATCCTTGTCATTTATCGCCCTCCAGGTTCCCTTGGAGAGTTCATCAATGAGCTCCTTTCCTGAGGATGGCTCACCCCTCACAGTTCTGGGTGACTTTAACCTCCCTACGTCTGCCTTTGACTCATTTCTCTCATATCCTCCTTCTTTCCACTCCTTTCCTCTTTTGACCTCACCCTCTCACCATCCCCCCCTACTCACAAGGCAGGCAATACGCTTGACCTCATCTTTACTAGATGCTGTTCTTCTACTAATCTCACTGCAACTCCCCTCCAAGTCTCCGACCACTACTTTGTATCCTTTTCTCTCTCGCTCTCCTCCAACACTACTCACTCTGCCCCTACTCCGATGGTAATGTGCCGTCGCAACCTTCGCTCTCTCTCTCCCGCTACTCTCTCCTCTTCCATCCTATCATCTCTTCCCTCTGCTAAATTCTTCTCCCTCCGATCTCCTGATTCTGCCTCCTCAACCCTCCTCTCCTCCCTTTCTGCATCTTTTGACTTTCTATGTCCCCTATCCTCCCGGCCGGCTCGGTCCTCCCCTCCTCCTCCGTGGCTTGACGACTCATTGCGAGCTCACAGAAGAGGGCTCCGGGCAGCCGAGCGGAAATGGAGGAAAACTAGACTCCCTGCGGACCTGTCATCTTTTCACTCCCTCCTCTCTACATTCTCTTCCTCTGTTTCCGCTGCTAAAGCCACTTTCTACCACTAAATTTCAAGCCTCTGCCTCTAACCCTAGGAAGCTCTTTGCCACCTTCTCCTCCCTGCTGAATCCCCCTCCCCCTCTCCCTCCCTCCTCCCTCTCTGTAGATGACTTCGTCAACCATTTTGAAAAGAAGGTTTACGACATCCGATCCTCATTTATTAAGTCAAATGACACCGCTGGTCCTGCTCACACTGCCCTACCCTATGCTTTGACTTCTTTCTCCCCTCTCTCTAGATGAAATCTTGTGACGGCCGGCCGCCCAACAACCTGCCCGCTTGACCCTATCCCCTCCTCTCTTCTCCAGACCATTTCCAGAGACCTTCTCCCTTACCTCACCTCGTTCATCAACTCATCCTTCAGTCTTCAAGAGAGCGAGAGTTGCACCCCTCCTCAAAAAACCTACACTCGATCCCTCCGATGTCAACAACTACAGACCAGTATCCCTTCTTTCTTTTCTCTCCAAAACTCTTGAGCGTGCCATCTCTAGCCAACTCTCCTGCTATCTCTCTCAGAATTACCTTCTTGATCCAAACCAGTCAGGTTTCAAGACTGGTCATTCAACTGAGACTGCTCTTCTCTATGTCACGAGGCTCTCTGCACTGCTAAAGCTAACTCTCTCTCCTCTGCTCTTATCCTTCTAGACCTATCCGCTGCCTTTGATACTGTGAACCATCAGATCCTCCTCTCCACCCTCTCCGAGTTGGGCATCTCCGGCGCTGCTCACTCTTGGATTGCGTCCTACCTGACCGGTCGCTCCTACCAGGTGGCATGGCGAGAATCTGTCTCCGCACCACGTGCTCTCACCACTGGTGTCCCCCAGGGCTCAGTTCTAGGCCCTCTCCTATTCTCTCTATACACCAGGTCACTTGGCTCTGTCATATCCTCACATGGTCTCTCCTATCATTGCTACGCAGACGACACACAATTAATTTTCTCCTTTCCCCCTTCTGATAAACATGTGGCGAATCGCATCTCTGCATGTCTGGCAGACATATCAGTGTGGATGTCGGATCACCACCTCAAGCTGAACCTCGGCAAGACGGAGCTGCTCTTCCTCCCGGGGAAGGACTGCCCGCTCCATGATCTCATCATCACGGTTGACAACTCCATTGTGTCCTCCTCCCAGAGTGCAAAGAACCTTGGCGTGACCCTGGACAATACCCTGTCGTAACATCAAAGCGGTGACCCGATCCTGCAGGTTCATGCTCTACAACATTCGCAGAGTACGACCCTACCTTACACAGAAAGCGGCACAGGTCCTAATCCAGGCACTTGTCATCTCCCGTCTGGATTACTGCAACTCGCTGTTGGCTGGGCTCCCTGCCTGTGCCATTAAACCCCTTCAACTTATCCAGAACGCTGCAGCCCGTCTGGTGTTCAACCTTCCCAAGTTCTCTCATGTCACCCCACTCCTCCCCACACTCCACTGGCTTCCAGTTGAGGCTTGCATCTACTACAAGACCATGGTGCTTGCCTACGGAGCTGTGAGGGGAACGGCACCACCTTACCTTCAGACTCTGATCAGACCCTACATCCAAACGAGGGCACTACGTTCATCCACCTCTGGCCTGCTAGCTCCCCTACCTCTACGGAAGCACAGGTCCCGCTCAGCCCAGTCAAAGCTATTCGCTGCTCTGGCACCCCAATGGTGGAACAAGCTCCCCCACGACGCCAGGACAGCGGAGTCACTGACCACCTTCCGGAGACACTTGAAACCCTACCTCTTTAAGGAATACCTGGAATAGTATAAAGTAATCCTTCTTTCCCCACCTCCCATAAAAAAAAGAAAAAAAAGTGGTTGTCCCACTGGCTATCATAAATTGAATGCACCTATTTGTAAGTCGCTCTGGATAAGAGCGTCTGCTAAATGATGTAAATGTAATGTTATTTCCCCAGGTAGTCAGGAGATGCCAATAAACACCACCGTGTGTGTTCTGTCAACGCTAGCTGCTAGTAGGGTTTCTGCACACGTACACACACAGTCTCTCACACACAGTCTCTCTCTCACACACAGTCACTCTGACGCGCCCATGGATGTAGGACAAGCCTGTAACATTGTTTGGTTTTAATCATCTCCTAAGTGCATGAAAAAGTAAACGTGTGGGTCGGGTGAAAGAAGATGGCAAAGTTAATCAACTTCCCTTTGTTGCATAAGACAGTGAATAAGCGTCAACGCGTCAACCTAACTCATGAAAGGAGGATGTTGTTGCAGGGCAGTAGGGTCAAGGCAGTGCCCTTTAGGGGTTGGACTTGGAGACATATGTACTGGGGGAACAGTCTTACACCCTGGCTGTCCATCACCCTGGATTGGCCACTGGCCAGAGGTGAAAGCCTGCCATTGAAGCCAACGTCATTCAATCAAAAGCTGGATTGTTAATTAAAGTCAGTGACAGTGGTGTCTAGGGTTACCACTACCTTCCCCATGTTCCCTTCGTTCAGGATCGATCACCCTAGGATGTTGAATTAATATCCTGCCAATGTGTAGTGTAGTTAACTGTACTATACAGAAGTGATGCAAAAACTGTCAGCGTACCATAACGTATACTCGTACGTTTTAGGAAAATAATATATTTTATTCAGACAGAAAGCCAAAAAGCTGCTTCAGTCTGTGTAAGCAGAAGCCAAAACTCTAGAGTAGAGTATTTTTTACATCTCTGCATATGGTGTCCAATCGGCAAGCCATTTAGCCATTGAACCATTACTTGTAATGAGGAGATTATTTTTGTTATCTTTGTTTAGGTAGAAATAGCATCCTATTACCATGGAGTATAATGATCTGTTTCCCAACAGGCAGGGAGGCAGTCAGGCGTGCACACACACACACACACACACACACACACACTCTTGTTTATCTAACCTTGTGGAGACAACATTTATTCCCATTCAATAGTCTATTTTCCCTAACCCTAAACCTTAACACTTACCCTAACCTCAAAACCTAACCCTAACACTAACCTTAACCCTAAACCCCCTAGAAATAGCATTTGACCTTGTGGGGACTAACAAAATGTCCCCAGTTGGTCAGATTTCTGTTTGTTTACTATTCTTGTGGAGATTTCTGGTCCCCACAAGTATAGTTAAACATGACAACATACACACACACACACACACACACTACTCACCGGATCGAACACAAGCATCCTGCACAGGAGGTGGACAGCTTCATGGGTGGCCTGGCTGGACAGGGTGTACAGGACAGGAAGGGATGGCTGCAGAAACAGGAAATTACATAGTCAGTCAGTCAAATAGTTACACGCACAGTCAACTTAACCAAATAAAGCTTTTTCAATGCTGGCCTTGTTTTAATTACATGAGGAATTTAAGAATTGTGAAAACACCCTGGATGATCATATCATGAACTGTACATTCAACATTACATTTTTCACATTCAGAAGAAGCATCTACCTGTGAAGGGAGTGTAGATGGTAGTACAGTTTACGTACAGCACCCAAAAACATGCCGTGATTTTATGTGACAACGGGAGAAAGTCAAGGGCTACTGCGTACATATTGCAATGTGGATTCAATTGAATTGAATCCTAGATCTTATCTGTGGCATCAAAGCCAGCCACAGCCAACGATTTTACAAATCTCTCCTTCACTTCCAAACGTCTTCCACGCCGCCGCCAAAAGGATCCTTCAAATGATAGCCCTGCCATGTGCTTATCTCTACGAGGAGGTGGGCCCAAAAGAACAATGAGCAAGTTATTTTTACACTAATTATCTTTCCTGCCCCATCTCTCTCTCTCAAACTCAACAAAGTTGATTGAAAAAACCCACCGGTAATCGCTTGTTTTCCCTGATTAGGTTTTGCCGGTGCGAGCAGATGCAAGCCCCAACTGGTGATTCACGCTCATCAGGAGATGACTTTGTTACACCACACACTACTCCCTCCGCTGTGTTTCACCCAGCGCAATCACCAAGGAGAGGAGAGGGGGAGGAGAGCAGAGGAGAGGGGGAGGAGGAGAGGAGAGGGGGAGGAGAGCAGAGGAGAGGGGGAGGAGGAGAGGAGAGGGGGAGGAGAGCGGGAGGAGAGGAGAGCAGAGGCAGAGGAGAGGCTTTTAAAGCTGCATCCTCAGGACAATGGACATGAAATGTTCACCTTTTTTCCCAAGGCTGCATAGTGTGTGTGTGTGGTGTGGGTGTATGTGTGCTTGTGCACGTGTGTGCATGCGTGCGAGTGTGTCTGTGTTCCATTGGGCGGAGTTGATTGCAATGTGTGAGAACTCCAGTGATAATTAAAAGTGGACCCAAGTTCTCTGTTACCGGAAAGTAGAATTTCCACCTATTAACTCCGTGCTTTGTTTGTGTGTGTTACATCAGTGTGTGTGTGTGTGTGTGTGTGTGTGTGTGTGTTGCCATGGTGGCAGTGTGTTGGGGCACGGGGCTGGGCTGAGAGAGAGAGCATGGCGGTGCACAGTAGCATTAGTAGGCATTAGTCTGGGATTAGCAAGGGATGAAGTTCTAGACAGATGAAGGGAGAGGAGGACAGGAGAGAGAGAGAGGGAGGTGAGGCTGGACTGGACCCCTGTCCCTCTCCCTGTCCCGGCCCCATGATGCCGCCCGGGACACAGCCAAGTTAAACAAACGGTGACTCAGGAAAAGAGACATCACCAAATGTATGTGGACACCTGCATGTCGAATAGTAAGCAGCGCTCCCTTTCTGGCTTACGAGAAGAGCGAGAAAGTCATGGCGACGTTGGCTAGCTAAGCTCATGAGTAGAAACACGTCATCGGGTCTAATGGTCGTCTAGTGGTCTGAACTATGCATGGGCAGGCCGTCGAATCAAAGGCACTCCTTCAATATAAAGTTGTTTTTGACGAAAATGAAAAACGTGTCAGTTTGTCAGTAATAACATGTTCATCTACTAAGACATTGAATCTAGGTTGTGCCTTTAGATTTAGAGAAAATGAACTACTAAGGAAAAATGTTTTGTTGTGATGATCGTGGATGATCAGTCTCCTAGGGCACTCTGGCAAGTTGGAACTGTCAAGTCAGTTATCCCTGGAGCAGATGGGAAAGTGAGGCCGTGTGAAGCAGTGCTAGAAATGGTCGGCTAGAACCTGGCTGTCTCCATCTTTTGCGAATGAGCAGTTCAGACTCTGGGTAGACCACCTGTGGTAGTGACGAGTCTGGCCGCCCCATGAGAAGAGTTAGGAGTGATTGGATCCGGATCTGAGATGTCCGACGACACATATCCCAAGGGCTTGGAGTTCAAGATCCCTTCTATTTCGATTAGGACAATCCTCAGCACCTCTTTGGAGATGGTCTGCGCACCAAGAGTGGTTTGCAGGGCAGTCTTGATGGATCTGATCTCCCTCTCCCAGCATCCTCCAAAGTGTGGTGCACTTGGTGGGTTGAAGGTGAAGCAAATCTTCTGACTGGCTAACTGTTCCTGGAGCTGTGGGTGGAGAGTCATAAATGCCTCCTGTAACTCTCGCTCACCTCCCTTGAAATGTTCCTAAATCGGACAGGATCTCAAAGGGCTTTCCTCTTCGAGCAATGAAGCGTCTCAACGCCATTAGGAATGAATCGGAATCCATATTTGTCAGTAGATCCACGTGTACAGCCCGGGTGGTCATGCACTTAAAGATGATGCCCCATCTCTTTTCATTTCTTCGGCCAATCTTGATGATATACGGTCCAAAGCAGTACACGCCTGTATAATAAAATGTGGGCTTGTGGAGCCGCAGTCGGGCTGGAGGCAGGTCAGCCATCCTAGGCACATCTGGCTGGCCTCGCCACTTCCTGCATTTCGGTGCAGCCAAGCTGAAAATGGCAAATGGCTGCCTCTCAGAATCCAGAACCTTCGACGTAACTCAGCAAACACCCTCTCTGGTCCCAGGTGCCTCAGCTGCTCATCATATTCTTGATCAGCAACCTGGTGAGCGGATGACCTGGTTCCAGAACCACTGGGTGAAGAACGTCAGGGCACAGCTGGTCACACCTCCGAAGGCGACCTCCAACACGAATCAGTCCGGTGTTGTCATCATACTCTGGGGCCAGCGTCACCAGACGGCTGCTCGGAAGGATTGGCTTGCCTGCCTCTAGTAGGGAGAGCATGTCTGAGTACTTCGAGTTCTGCTTGCTTGAAATCGTCGGCTGAAGGGCTGTCGGCACTACTGGCCGCCCTGTGTAGCAACTGCACTGTGGCTTCCACCAGCTCATGGAAAGTGTTGAACTGGGCAACATCAGGGAGAGACGACTTTGTGTCCGCTGACAGGAGTCCACAGAAGGTAGGCTTCCGCAGCTCCTCTGCATCATCAGGAGGTACTTGGTCTGGTCTTCTCAGCCAGGATGACTGGGCCTGCCACAGGAATGGAGGACCTTGACTCCAAAGGTTGTGTTCTGAAAGCTGAGACAGCGTCTTGCCACGTGTGATATCGTCAGCCGGATTTCTCTCTGTGTCCACGTAACGCCAGGCCTGGGGGTCTGTGAGATCCTGTTGTAGAATCCGACCAGTACGTGACCTCATGGATTTCTAGGGTGAGTTATTTTCTGATGACCACAGCTAGCTGGGCACCAGTGAGTGCAACGCAGAGCTCGAGTCTTGGCATCGACTGTTGTCGTTTTGGGGCCACTCTTGATCTTGCTGCAGGGAATGCTATTTGGATCCGTCCATTGGCGTCTTCAGTACGGAGGTACGCAACGGCACCGTACGCACGTTCTGAGGCATCACTGAAGACGTGAACACTTCTTGTGCTGGTTGGGAGGTCCATGTCGGGGCTGACGTAACACCTTAGCAGTGTGACCTGAGACAGCTGTGGAAGTTCTTTCTCCCAAATAAGCCTCGCTTGGAGAAGATCTTCAGGTAGGTCTGGGTCATCCCACCCTCTTTTCTTATTCCAGAGCCTCTGATCCACAACCTTGGCCTGTGTGGTGTATGGGACGATGAAGCCGAGTGGATCGTACTGGCTGGCAAGGATCCGATATATGTTGCGCATGGTGGGTTCAACTTTCTCCATGTGACCTTGCTTGTAGCCAAGAGTGTCAGACAGACATTGCCATCGTAATCCAAGGGTGTGCTCTTGGGGTTCCACGCCATCCTGGGTGAACCACAGCTCACCGTTCTCCGACCTGGACGCTTGAGGTAGGTGTTTGATGACTGCTGGAAGGTTGCTGGCCCACTGGCGTAGATCGAATCCTCCCTCAGCAAGAAGGTGCTTCAGCTTGTCCACCAGTTTCTTGGCTTCCTCCACAGAGGGGAGGCTTTGTAGACAGTTGTCTACATAGAAACAGCGTTCTTCTTCAGGCTCACTGTGGTCGAATACATGCTTCTGAAGGCCAAGCGTGGCGCAGCAGGGGCTACATGTCGTCCCAAAGGGAAGAACCTGCCACTCATAGACATCAGCGTAATCATCACGGTTTAAGTCTCACTACAGAAACCGGAGAAGAGGCTGGACTTCGGGTAGCAGGCTGACTTGATGGAACATCCCCTTTATATCACTGCTGATGGCCACTGAGTGTTCCTGGAAACGGAGAAGGACTCCAAGCAGAGTAGCTCCTAAAGTAGGTCTGGGAAAGAGTTGTTCGTTCAAGCTCTTGCCCCTGAAGTTTGAAGGAACAGCTGAAGACGACTCTGTTTTTCCCCAATGTGATGGACCATATGATTCGGAATGTACCAACCTGGGTACTCTTCGACTGCTACTGGGGATAGTTTCTTAACTTGTGAATCTCTGCATTGTACACTGCTGCTTTCTCTGGATCCTTGGACAGATGCTTCTCTGTCCCTCGCAGATGAGCCAGTACTGCCTCCTTCGGAGCTTCCAAGGGAGGAAGGTTCTTCTTCCACAAAAGTGGAGTGGCATACCTTTGAACCCCGTCCACTTCGACCCTGACCGTCTTCTCCTCCAGTGGATACATGACTTCTACATCTTGTCTGGACCATGTGACGAGCTTCTCACTCCTGTACGGTAGCGTATCCAACTGCCAGAGCTTCTCTACATGGCTGAAGAGCTCTGCAGATGGAGAGACAAGGGATGTATGAAGGCACTGTTGTGGAGCAAGACTTTGCTGCAGGAACTTTGAAGGACCTTGAAGGGTCCATCCGAGCTGAGTCTTGATGGCGGCAGGTCCACCAGGGGGACCCAAACGTACTGGCTCCGTCGGGGTGATTAGATGGGGATAGTCTGATCCGATGAGCAGTAATGGCTGCGTCTGGTCCAGCGGTTGAAGGGGTAGGCCTTTGAGGTACCAATATATTTTCTTAAGGGCTTTGACCGGGTAGGTATGCTGTGCAAGGCCCAACTCTTCAGCTGTGAAGGCTCTGTGGATGTCAAATGACCTGTTTGGTTGAGTAACAGGGGCCACAGAGAATGACACAGAAGCTGATATATGAAACTGATATCTTGAAGCACCGTACGAAGTGCCAAGTCCTCAGGATTTCCTTGGAGGCCTAGCTGCTCTGCTGCTTCATGTAGAAGTATATTGCGCGCCGACCCGTCGTCCAACAGGGTGTACATGTCATGTGACTTGTTGCCATTTCAGCAGCACCTTCCTGCTGCCGGAAGGTCGATCAACAGAGGGTCTCTCTGCGGTGGAGCTCACCAGGAAAATGCTCTCGACGCCTTTGTGCTGGCGGTCTTCATATTGTTCGTGCTAGCGTTCTTTGTAGCAGTCGGGCTAGTGTTGACCTCGTGGAGAATCGCACTTCTTGCACTTAGCCTTGAGAGTACACTGAGCTGCTTGGTGTTCACGTCCACACTTTAAACATCTTTCATTTGTCTTGATCCAGGATTCTTTCTGTTCTTTGGAAAGGAGCTGAAAGTTGGTGCATTGATTCATGTAATGCTGCATGGTGTTGCAGAATGGACAATATTTCTTTGGCTTCTCCTGTGACCTTTCCTCCGGAGACTGGTTCTGTGCAGAGAGTTCGACTTCGTCCTTTCACTGCTCTCCTCCATGGAGGATGGTGATGGTCTTGGGGAAGGATTTGTCTTTACACTGATCTCGGCGTGAGCTAGGGTGGTCCCTGCTTTGTTCGCTACTGAACTGCGTGCCATCTACTTGCACTCTAACCTCGTACTTGAGCCACTCTGCCAGGTGAAGGAGGGTTGGAATGGGTGTCTTGATGGGGTTCACACATCTCTTGAAGCTGGCTCTTAGGTCGTGTGGTAACTTAGCTAAGATGCGGGAGACGTGTGACCCACACCTCAGTTCTGTCTGTCCATTACTCCCTAGCTGATCCAACATGCCAACCAAGGCACGCACCCTCAGAGCGAATCATCGGAATGCCTTGGTTTCACCACTCTTGATGTTGGGGCCATCCATTAACCCTGCGATGCATTGGAGGGCAAGCTGGTGGGCTGGCCATACAGTTCTGTGAGGGACTCTATGGTGGCACTGTATGGGTACCTGCTGTTGCTGTAGGAGTCGGCAATTAGCAAAGCCTCTTCCAACTTCAGGTGGTCCACAAATATCTGAAACTTGAAGCACTGTTGCATCTACAGGCAGCACATTGTCGAGGGCCACCTTCAGCCTTGCAAACTCTCGTGGGTCTTCATTGATGAAGTTGGGAATGGTAGGAGATGGTCCACGGTAGACGCACTCCCGGCTAGGTGGAGAAGATGTGCGGTAGCGGACAGGTGAGTACCGACGATGATCAAGTGAGTAGGCCCGGCGATGACGTTCAGGCGAGCAGTTGCGATGGTCAGGTGAGGAGTCGCGGCGGCTACGGTCAGGTGAGTAGTCGCGGCGGCTACGGTCAGGTGCGTAGCCGCGGCGGCTACGGTCAGGTGCGTAGTCGCGGCGGCTACGGTCAGGTGCGTAGTCGCGGCGGCTACGGTCAGGTGCGTAGTCGCGGCGGTGACGGTCAGGTGAGTAGTCGCGGCGGCGACAGTCAGGCGTGGGCTGACAATGGCAATCAGTTGAGGGTTTACGATGGCAATCTGGCATAGGCTGACCGTAGCGTCAGGTAAGTAGTCACGGCGGTCAGGTGAGTAGTCGCGGCGGTCAGGTGAGTAGTCGCGGCGGCGACGGTCAGGTGCAGGCTGACGACGGCGATCAGGTGTAGGCTGACCGCAGCGGTTAGGTGAGGGCTGACGTTGGCGATCCTGTGAAGTCAGCCCTCTATGTGGCGCTGTAGGGCTATGAGTTCTGCAATGAGAAGTCGACCAGTCTCGTTGGTGCGATGGCTCACAACGTTGAAGGGTTGACTGAGTAGATGATGACGTGAGGATGACTGGTCTGAGAAGGAGAGCCCTCTGATCCCAAGGTTTTCAATGAGCTGCTATATCTTACCTGCTGCTGGTCTTGTTGTGAGAGTAATTAATTCCACTCACAGCGCCCTCTGCTTGTGGTCCCTCATTGGAGTGGTGTGTTGTTGAGTGTGGTGTCTGCTTTGACTCATAGCTTACCTCATAGTCAACCAGACGATGTAGGGAGCGAGTCTGACGGCAGGGATGAACCACAACTTGTGGAGCATCTTCTCTGGAGACGGGCATCCTTGAACTTTGGCAGTTACTGAATCCGTCTCGAAGGACCATGAAAAATATGGGTTGTTTATGAATTCGAAGGACCAATAAAAAGGGATAAAAAAACATAGGTGCTGGATTTTAGGCCGGTAGCAACCTCCACAAGGTGTCCGTTCAGAACATGAGGAAGTGTAACAGTGTTGCTTCTGTCCCTCTCCTCGCCCCTACCAGGGCTTGAACCAGGGACCCTCTGCACACATCGACAACAGTCACCCTCGAAGCACCGTTACCCGTCGCTCCACAAAAGCCGCGGCCCTTGCAAAGCAAGGGAAACAACTACTTCAAGGTCTCAGAGCGAGTGACGTCACCGATTGAAACGCTACTAGCGCACACTGCTAACTAGCTAGCCATTTCACACTGGTTACAGAAGCAGTAGTTCCAGTTCAAGGTTTAATTAAGATCTCCACACACACACACACACACACACACACACACACACACACACACACACACACAACACCACTCCCTCTGATACTAATTGTGGTTTTGTAAAGAAAATAGGAAAACTTAGGCTATGACACAATATGGGGAAAATATGCCTATTTGCGTGTCAACAACTAAGCAGACTATGTGGACCCAAACACATGATAGATGCACAACGAACAATAGAGCAATTTAGAAATAACTACACATTATAAAACAACATAATAAGTATGAGCGATCTACAACCGAAAATAGCATAGCACCACAGACAAATGTTAACATATGCCAATCGCTAATAAGCATGCTAAATAGTCATGCATTCCGGATGGCAATGCTAATGCTAGCTAACAAGTTTAACACGAACGGTACATAGGGCGAGGGCATTGCGTTCATCCACCTCTGGCCTGCTGGCTCCCCTACCTCTGCTGAAACACAGTTCCCACTCAGCCCAGTCAAAACTGTTCGCTGCTCTGGCATCCCAATGGTGGAACACGCTCCCTCACGACGCCAGGACAGCGGAGTCACTCACCACCTTCCGGAGACATTTGAAACCCCACCTCTTTAAGGAACACCTGGGATAGGATAAAGTAATCCTTCTAACCCCCCCCCCAAAAAAAATAAAAAATAATAATAATAATAATAATTGTAAAGTGGTTATCCCACTGGCTATAAGGTGAATGCACCAAATTTGTAAGTCGCTCTGGATAAGAGCGTCAGCTAAATGACGTAAATGTAAATATTTACAACAGACACTATTTAGCTCCAAACAACAAGACATCAGGATTTTGGCACTTACATTTAGCTGCAAGCACAATAAACATCAGAAAGAAAAGCAACTTCTTCTAAGGAAGTAGTATAAACAGGAGAGAAAAACAGGTTGGTCATCAGAACGGAAACTACAGACTGCTTGAGGCCCTGCCTGGTCGGGTATTACGCTAAATCCCAGGGGAAACGGCTGCTGATTGGCTAATAAATTATGATGATTGGCTTGACCTTATTCCAATAGGAAAACCAAAAGAATGTTGGGGTCTTGGGAAGGAGATGAGCTTGCCGTTTGTACAAGGAGGACCTGTTTCTTTGTTACCCGCTCAACACAGCCGCATGTACGCACTCCTATTTTATACTTCTATTTTATTCAGCTATGTTCAATTTTATTCTTCATACTATAAAATAATATAAAATAATGCCACAGTAATTATAAGCAAATATTTTCTGCTAAATGAACTAGTGTATCCCACAGACATATGGGAATGCCAGATTAGGGCCTAACATAATGTCAGAGTATGCTATTCTGTTCTTCTGAACTAGACTACAATTTCTTCGACCTGTCTAAAATAAAGAATCGATTTATTGTGATGGTGTAGGCTATTTTAAATGGCTCGTAGGCTATGCTCAATTACCGTGAGATCGGCAATCACTGTCTGACAAAATTTCACGACCGCCACAGCCCTACATGTGACATTCTTCTAAGCTATAAATATTTGTTTCTGTCGTCTCGACATGCACTTTGGCCTGCAAAACATAATACGAAATGTGCTTTACAAATAATGTATATAATTATTAATATTATTTTTAAAATAAAAAGGGAACATCAGGTCTGACCTAGCCCTGCCCAGGGCCAGCCGGGGCAAGCTGCCTGCCTTTCCCACACCCTCCTCAAACATCGTCCTCTCTCTGCCCCCATCCCCCAGCACAACAAACAAGTTGTACATCACTCTACCAGACAATAACAAAGCCTTCCCAGGCTACAGCCTCAAAGCCTCAGAGACAGGTACAACAGGGCACTGTGAAAGGAAGAGTTGCACCTGAGGGATGTATGGTGGTGTGGACAAGTGGACATGATTCCACTGTTTACTCATGCAAAACTGCTGCTAACGCTAGCTAGCTAGCCTCCTGGAGCTAAGAGGAGGAGAGACTGGTGAAGGATGGGCCGATAAACATGCAGGTAATTACTGGAACAAGGGATGAGGGTTCCAAAACAACCAGCGTGTCAACACCATGTCAGACTGTTCTGTACAAAGATTTGGAGGAAGTGAAAGGTGGGTTTATTTGGATTGTGTGTGTGTTTGCTGAGGTTAAGTGGTGTGTGCTCCAGCAGCAGAGTGAAGCAAGCGAGTAGCAGCCTCTGGTAACTTCTCTACCCAGACGGACAGCTCATGTAACGGCAGACTGCCAGTGAGGATTCCTGTTTCAGCAGAAAAGGCTGCACTTAGCTTCGCGTGGTTCGAGGGTAGAGCAGAGTGGTTGGGGTGTGTGTGTGCGTGCGTGAGAAAAAAAAGAGAGTGAGTGACAAATACACAGTGTGTGTGTGCGCGTGTGTGGAGAGGGGGTGCTTTGCAGCTTTCAAGCCCTTCTCTGATTTCTAAACTCATTTAGCTTGGGGTATTGACCTGCCTAAGCCTCCTGCTCAGGGTGGGTGGGGGCTAGTTTCCCAACGCTGGCTACAGTAGAGCCCAATGGCTTTCATTTCATTAGCCATCCTCACACAGATTTATTTAGAAAGCACAGCGAGAACTGGCACCCTGGTGTGTTCTATTTTCCCCTCAAAACATGATTATTTTATTAGAATATACGAGAACAATTATTAGTAAAGAATCTAAGGGCCACATTCATTCAAGTTCTCTATACATCTCATATGTCTGGACCCAGTTATTGCAGTCCTTTCCTGGATGACTCAGGGTGCATCACAAGACTCTAAAGTGGTGTCTTCTTCTCATCTCTGTCACCCTCATCTACAGCTTGCTCTGAAAACAGAGAAGGGGTGAAGTGATATGGTGGATGACTACCTGGAATTTGCGCTTGCCCGTCCTGTTCTCTCACACCAGAACAGATGAAAGAGAGCCGGTGAGGACAGGAGAGGAAGCTTCATTAGAGTAATGAGGAGAGGAGAGGAGAGGAGAGGAGAGGAGAGGAGAGGAGAGGAGAGGAGAGGAGAGGAGAGGAGAGGAGAGGAGAGGAGAGGAGAGGAGAGGAGAGGAGAGGAGAGGAGAGGAGAGGAGAGGAGAGGACGCTCCATTAGAGTAGTGAGAAGGAGAGGAGAGGAAGCTACATTAGGTTAGTGAGAAGCAGCCTGAGTGCCTGTACTCCTCTGTGGACGTTCTCTCCGTCTGGGAGAATAAGCAGCTGTAATGATGTCTCTGATGCAACTCGGAAAACCTTGTCTTTAAAAGCAGCACTCGGTCTGCCTACCCTCCTCCTCCCGCCATGTTTCACTCCTCTCTTCCCTCCCTCCTTCCCTCCCAAGCTGCAATGCCCCAGACCCTCATTGTGTAAAAAGGAACCCCTTCTTCCCTCTTCAAAGCTCCTTGGTCAACATCTCCTCTCCTCTCACCCTCTCCTCTCTCCTGTGCCCTCTCACCCTCCTCTCGCAGGTCCTTCACCTCCTCCAGAGGGAAAAGAAAGGGGGATGAGAGGAGGGCAGGGGCTCTCTGTGATGCTTCATTCTCTCATCTTCACAAAGACCCTGTTCTGTCACGTGAATAAGCAGCTCTCCCAACCCTCCAAAAAACCTTCAAGTGTGTGTTGACCTCTGGCTTCATCTTGTAACCTTTGAACTTGCGTCTGAAGGAACAGCTAAAACCAGGGCTTTTAAAGACATTTTATGTACTGAATGTGGTCAACTTGTGAATACCCACCCACAGAAAGATGCAATCGGCCACTGAACAGCCACCCTGCAGATAGAGCATGGTTGGTAGTGATGGGGGAAAAATCCATATTTACATATCAGGATATTATTTTTGATGATATACTGTATCGTATTGTTTTGACAATATTGCAATATTATTTTTGTGCTAGTTTGCTGTACCTGCACCAAAACTCCAGTATTTTTCCTTCATAGCTTGTTCTCCATCATCTTTTTAAATAGGGTGCCAATTTGTTTTCATGACTCTCTAGTCACTCTGCAGCAGACATATGGTGAGCAATATTTTTGGAACATCGAATCGCAATAAAAACACAGTATCGAAATGCAGTACATATAGAATCGTGAGAATCGGGGTGGGGGGTCAGATGAACAGGACCAGCATGGTTGTTGGGGGTGGGGGTGTAAGATTAACCCCAGATGTATATTTCCTACCACTGCATTTCTGCGAGCGTCATACATTTGACTACCGTCAAACCCCCCTCCCTCCCACCTCACCCCCATGATGGCATGATGTGCCCTGGGACCGCATTGCTGGCAAGAAACATGATCCCTTTTGGCTTGGACCCCACCACCATCCTCCAACCCACACACCCACATCCCCCATCACCCCCTCCCACCCCTCCCTCCTCTCCCTATGCTGCCCCTACCGGCCCCAGGTCTGTAATCTAAACGTCAGTCGATAGACATGATTAAAACATCCTGCTCCACGCATTGCCTAGCCTGCAGGAGACACACACATGGGAGGGAGCGTCGAGTGACAAGGTCATCCAAATGTCAGCGTTCGCTTACAGGGATGGCGCACACAGACACCACACACACACACACAGGGGTAGGGAGGTGGCGAGGAGGTATAAGCGTGGCAGGGCTTGTGGGTCGATGGGAGGCAGGGGGCAAGGCCACGGTGCTTGCTCTGCAGTTCCTGTTCCCTGCAGGATACCATCTGCCCAAATCAGACATGGAAGACGCACAGAACACACACCCAATACCAATAATCCATGGGCTGGTTCCTGGCTATGTTATTCCATTCACAGAAACCCAATCCACTCTTACACAAATCTGTCAAGCCTTAGTAATGAAGACACGAGCTCCAGAGGACTGTAGGATCACACACACACACACACACACACACACACACACACACACACACACTAGGGCTGTCCCCGACTAAAACAAATCTTGGTGACCGAAAGTCATCTGTTCGACCAATTGATTGGTAGAAATGTTTAAACGTGTTATTTTCCATATACAGTTGAAGTCGGAAGTTTACATACACTTTAGCCAAATACATTTAAACTCCTTTTTTCACAATTCCTGACATTTAATCCTAGTAAAAATTCCCTGTTTTAGGTCAGTTAGGATCACCACTTTATTTTAAGAATGTGAAATGTCAGAATAATAGCAGAGAGAATGATTTATTTCAGCTTTTATTTCTTCCATCACATTCCCAGTGGGTCAGAAGTTTACATACACTCAATTAGTATTTGGTAGCATTGCCTTTAAATTGTTTAACTTGGGTCAAGCGTTTCGGGTAGCCTTCCACAAGCTTCCCACAATAAGTTGGGTGAATTTTGGCCCATTCCTCCTGACAGAGCTGGTGTAACTGAGTCAGGTTTGTAGGCCCCCTTGGTCGCACACGCTTTTTCAGTTCTGCCCACAGATGTTCTATAGGATTGAGGTCAGGGCTTTGTGATGGCCACTCCAATACCTTGACTTTGTTGTCCTTAAGCCATTTTGCCACAACATTGGAAGTATGCTTAGGGTCATTGTCCATTTGGAAGACCCATTTGCAACCAAGCTTTAACTTCCTGACTGATGTCTTGAGATGTTGCTTCAATACATCCACATAATTTTCCTTCCTCATGATGCCATCTATTTTGTGAAGTGCACCAGTCCCTCCTACAGCACAGCATCCCCACAGCATGATGCTGCCACCCCCGTGCTTCAGGATTGGGATGGTGTTCTTCGGCTTGCAAGCATCCCCCTTTTTCCTCCAAACATAACGATGGTCTTTATGGCCAAACAGTCCTATTTTTGTTTCATCAGACCAGAGGACATTTCTCAAAAAAGTAGGATCTTTGTCCCCATGTGCAGTTGCAAACCGTAGTCTGGCTTTTTTATGGCAGTTTTGGAGCAGTGGCTTCTTCCTTGCTGAGCGGCGTTTCAGGTTATATGTCGATATAGGACTCGTTTTACTGTGGATATAGATACTTTTGTACCTGTTTCCTCCAGCATCTTCACAAGGTCCTTTGCTGTTCTTCTGGGATTGATTTGCACTTTTCGCACCAAAGTATGTTCACCTGAGCGGTATGACAGCTGCGTGGTCCCATGGTGTTTATACTTGCGTACTATTGTTTGTACAGATGAACGTGGTACCTTCAGACATTTGGAAATTGCTCCCAAGAATGAACCAGACTTGTGGAGGTCTACAATTTTTCTTCTGAGGTCTTGGCTGATTTCTTTTGATTTTCCCATGATGTCAAGCAAAGAGGCACTGAGTTTGAAGGTAGGCCTTGAAATACATCCACAGGTACACCTCCAATTGACTCAAAGTATGTCAATTAGCCTATCAGAAGCTTCTAAAGCCATGACATCATTTTCTGGAATTTTCCAAGCTGTTTAAAGGCACAGTCAATTTAGTGTATTTAAACTTCTGACCCACTGAAATTGTGATACAGTGAATTATAAGTGAAATAATCTGTCTGTAAACAATTGTTGGAAAAATTACTTGTGTCATGCACAAAGTAGATGTCCTAACCGACTTGCCAAAACTATAGTTTGTTAACATGAAATGTGTGGATTGGTTGAAAAACAAGTTTTAATGACTCCAACCTAAGTGTATGTAAACCTCCAACTTCAACTGTATAGACACACCGTATGTGTTTTAATAAAATCAACTATATACGCATTGAGCTTGTCTGATACTTTAAGCTTACTGTTTGATGAAATAAGACACAAGAGGAAGCCATAGATCTAGATAACTGTCTTTCACAGTTTCTGCTATTACTCTCCTAAATTTGCCGGTATTAGGCTACACGAGGAGTCGGCAACCTTTCTCATGTGGAATGCCAATTTATTTGACAATTTCTACCGATCTGCGTGCCAGTTATGGTTTTCATATGTACATTTCCGTGGAACAGTTTAATTTATTTATAATAACGTCTTCATATCTCAAAATCTTTGTCATGTGGTTAATCAAAATTCTATCCAAATCCAAATGAAAATTATACAAACCTAAAAAGTAACTTCTATTCCCATTGCCAACTATGTAAAAATAGTCTAAATTAAGCCAACAAATAAAAACTGCAGCCTGCAGGTAGAAAATATCGTGATAACAATAAATATCCTTTAAATCACATTGGCTACACGTGGCTTGTCTGCAACAAACTTGAAATATTGTATAAACTATTAACTTGGGTCCAGCCAGAAGCTTGCGCTAGAGAACTTGCAACGTTGTATAAAATATTCTGGGCCCTCAAGAGTTTCCCGCGCCAATGAGCTCCGGACAGACACAGCTGTAGGCTACTTGCGCAAGGGATAAGAAGCAGTCCTTGACTTGGGCAGGAGCTCACTGGAGCTGAGTACCGACACCTCAAATGTTCTACTGTTTGAGCTCCTGTTCCTCTTTTTTCTTTGGGGTGGGGGGTATTTTACCCCCTTTTTCTCCCCAATTTCGTGAGATCCAGTTGCGATTTTGTCTCATCGCTGCAACTCTCCAACGGGCTCGGGAGAGGCGAAGGTCGAGTCATGCGTCCTCCGAAACATGACCCGCCTTACCGTGCTTCTTAACACCCACCCGCTTAACCCGGAAGCCAGCCGCACCATTGTGTCGGAGGAAACACCGTTCAACTGACGACCAAAGTCAGCCTGCATGCGCCCGGCCCACCACAAGGAGTTGCTAGAGTGCAATGAAAAGTAAAGCCCCCCCGGCCAAACCCTCCCCTAACCCGGACAACGCTGGGCCAATTGTGCGCCGCCCTTTGGTTTTCCCGGTCGCGGCCGGTTGTGACACAGCCTGGGATCGAACCTGGGTCTGTAGTGACGCCTCAGACCGCTGCGCAACTCGGGAGCCCCTGAGCTCCTGTTCCTCTTATAGAATATTAGCTGAAAAGTATTGTGGAGCTCCTGCACCTAAATGAAAACAGTACCAGCACCCAAAATGAGTACTGGAACCTATTTCAGTCCAAGTCAAGCACTGATAAGAAGTAATCAGGTAGGCCTATTTTCATAGGATCAGAGCATGACATTTTTCCCTTTCACGCTGAGTGGTTATCGAAAGGGAGAGAGCTGGAAAGATTTTTCAAATACATTGAGGAACTATTGTAATTCTCAATTGATGTAAAAACAGACTTTGTTTACTTGCTGTTTGAGGTGAAAAAAAACATGACTTTGAGAAGCTCCACAGCTCATTAGTGGTGGTGCGTTAAGCCAATCAGAAATACTATCAGATCCCCAAATGGGCACATTTATATGCCTACATTTGCGTGCAGGCCAGGTAGCCTATAGGCCTACTTCTAACATGCTGACCACACCGCTAGCATTACATGCGCGAGCGTTGCAAATAAATGCACACATACATGTTATTCAATCATTTCAGCCAAACTGCTTGTGTGCGTCAACGAGCGTCTGCGTAGCCAGGCGCTAAAATAGAACCTGGTTCTATTTTTTACGCTTAATTAGCTGCAAGTCCTGCCTCTCCCACCTTATTGGTTTTTAGGAGCATATACCATGTGGGTAATTGAAAGATGAACTGAGGTCCACACTCCAGTCCAGTTGGTGGTGGTAATGCGCCTTAAAGTTGGTTGCCAACCACAATATAAAGTCCACAGAAGAAGAAGAAGAAGAAGAAGAAGAAGAAGAGGAAGAGGAAGAAGACTGAAGGAGGAGATATTACTAGAAACTAACTAGGTTTCCCCTTTTATCTGTGGATTAATTGTTGGAGTAGAGAACACACAATTTTGTGTGACTCAAAATGGGTCAAAATTCTACAAAGATCCAGAAAAAAATGACCGTGTGCATTTCAGGTAAAATAACAACCCAATATTTATATCCCAGGGCAAATTAGATAACAACAGCAAGCTAGCTAAATGGCCATGAATGTTTCATGTGTTTCGAACTGTCCCCAAATTAATATACAGTACCAGTCAAAAGTTTGGACACACCTACTCATTCAAGGGTCTTTCTTTATTTTTACTATTTTCTACATTGTAGAATAATAGTGAAGACATCAACACATATGGAATCATGTAGTAACCAAAAAAGTGTTTTATTTTATATTTGAGATTCTTCAAAGTAGCCTCCCTTTGCCTTGACAGCTTTGCACACTCTTGGCAAAACGCCATCTTGTTGTCCAAGAGGACCACTCATCACTGACTCCTGTAATAATTGATTTGTAGGACTTGTGAAAACCTTGCTCAGGAGACTCATGTGCTGTCCTGCTCCAGAAAACACATACCGCTCATCTGTGTCCCTACCTGTTTGTGTGGTCCTCTGAGGATATGGGCCCTGGCCCCCTCACACGCTGTCCTCATGGCCTCCAGAGAGGGAGTTCCCAGCAGGTCCGTGATCAGATCCAGCTACAACACAAGAACACACACAGAAGAACGCCATGCAGCATATGTTACTGTACTCGAGACACGCATGCACGAACACACACACAGACACACACACACACACACATATGCAGTAAAGGCGAGGTAGTTGAGACAGGCAGGCCAAGTAAATGACTCCAGTGAGCTGTACTGTATGTATTGTGTGTGTATTGACTTATTGCTTCATCATGCAATTTTGCAGTCCATTGTGAACACACAGTATCTGTGAACACGTCATTTGTGTCGATATCAGAAGTGAAAGGGAGTAGTGTGTACTGAGACATAAGACTGCATTCCTCCCTCCACAGCTAACTCAACATGTCATCTCTGAAATGGGGAGGTAACGAGGCAGGACCAGAGCCCAAGGTCTGGAGAGACACGGACACTAAGCGTTCAAGGAAACTCGGTCCTGTTTTCAAATACAAACTTTATCTCTGAAAGCTCTGCTCAAGCTGAAAAAAAAAAACCTCAGTGAATTCTACAGACTAACTAACACAACTAAGGATAGCCAATACCTTTTTTTCTTATTTCAATGCTCTGCACTGAATACTAGATCAGCAAGTATTCCATGTCAGATTTACATGTTCTCAGTGTTTACAGTATTGGTTACCTGCTGGATGGGGCTTTGGGCCTGGAACAGGATGCGTCGGCCCAGTAGCTCGGCGAAGATGCATCCTATAGACCAGATGTCGATGGCGTTGGAGTAATGGTGGCTGCCCATGAGGATCTCTGGCGCGCGGTAATACTGGGTCACCACCTCCTGAGTCATGTGACGAGACTCGTCCAGCTCCTCCACCCGCGCCAGCCCAAAGTCACAGATCTGGAGAGGGATGAAGGGTGAGAACATGTTCACATGAATACATCCATCAATACCAATACACAAATAGATTCGTCATCCCAACCTAACTCAAGGTTTAGATGCATGCAGCTTTTTGTAAGATACTTTTTATTATTTGGCAGCTTCCTGTGACTGGTCGGAGTCAATTGTTATATAACTGAATGAGAACATTGTCTGATACGTCTAAAGACACAAAAGAAAGGAATACTTGGATCATTCATAAATGAGGGAGCCACATTAGTGTCGCACCGCTACGGGCCTTGTCACATTACTCCAGACGATTGCTCCCCACCAGCTTGTACACAACTGAATCTAACTGCTTGAGTAGCTGATGCTGCTGAGGGAGGAGATTTTTGGAAGGGGATGTTCATCATCAGAAATTAAATGAGCGCCTCTCTCTAAAATAATGGCAGACTTGGAAGAGAAGGAACACAGCAATATCATGGGCAGACAGCACCCAATCACAGGCAGGGAGCATCACAGAGGCAGGCAGGGATGGGTTGGTCTGAAAATAGCCCAGAATGTGTGGGGAAGGTTTCCCGTTTGGGAAATGAGAATTAGGAGCTAAATTAGTAAATGTCTGCTAGAGACAATCTGTTCTCCAGAGTCAGCCAGAGAACACACGGAATCACTCTGTCCTCCACCTTCTCCCTCCTCATGTTCTCTCTCTCTCCCCCACCCGTGGACTAGCACGCCTCCCAGCTGTCTGTGGGGGGAGGAGAGGGAGCTAAGGGTAGCATAAACCCAGGCAGGGCCTCCATTACCAGGCCCCAGGATGAAAATGTATATGTCAAGAGCCCAGCATCATGTACTGTAGAAATCCCACTGGGGCTACAGACCCCCGGTAACGGTGTGTGTGTTTGTATTTCAGATACTGTACTTCTACAGAGCAGACTCCAACCCCAACTTGACCTCATCAATATATCATACTATACATCTCAGTAGCGTAATACATGTTATCATCACAGAAGGATGGAGATGTTAGATGGTAGAGGACAGTATACCAACCTTAAGCACACAGTTACTGTTGACCAGGAGGTTGCCAGGTTTGATGTCTCGATGTAGGATGCCAGCTGAGTGCAGGTACTTCAGTCCTACAGACAAAACACATGCCGGGAAGGATTCAGTTGAACGGTTTTCAAACAGTTCCTTGTGCGAAGGTCCCACCCCGTTTTTTATCAATGACAATTCAAGCTGATATGTGTGAAAATCATGTTTTAATGTTTGCAATGTGATCTGGGAGTGTGTGTGCGTGCCGGAGAGGTCTTACCTCGGAGGATCTGATAGAGAAATACTTTGACGTGGTCTGAGCTGAGGGGCTGAGGTGACACGATGATCTTATGGAGGTCACTCTGCATCAGTTCTGTCACCACATAGCTGGACGAGGAGTGGTCAAAGAAAACAACACCACAAAGACTACACAGAGAAGAGCTAGCTAGGTAGTGGAGAGAGGAGTCGAGGGAAGAGGTAAATGGAAGTAAGCGGGAATGGGCCGAGGAAAGACTATCTACAGTGTCTGTTCTGTTACATTCTAACCTACATAAAATGTTGCCACCCTAAATGGATGTAACGGACAGAGGTTCTTCCGATTCCTCTGCAAGTAGCAGCAGTACAGTATCGATCCACTGTCACAATGGGCTCCTGCGGTGAGTTTCAATAGACCTCTATGGTATCTCTATTTCCTTCTTGCTCCCATTCTGCCCCTTTCACACTCTCCTGGGGATGACATTCAGGCAGCCCTGTTTTGCTCTCCTTCCTCAGTCATCCTGGAAGTGTAGACACATAATACATTACATAATGTGGCATAGAAACGCCTCTTTGATAGATACAACCTAATCCTGCCATCTAGCACTGTCAGCAGGCAGGTCAATTCCCAGAGCACACTGGCATCCCAGCCCAGCACAGTCATGTGTTTTGTGTGTGTGTGAGAGAGCGAGTGTGTGTGTGTGAGAGAGAGAGTGTGAGAGAGAGAGTTTGTGAGAGAAAGAGAAAGTGTGTGTGTGTGTGTGTGAGAGAGACACAGAGTGTGTGTGAGAGAGATAGAGTGTGAGAGAAAGAGAGAGAGAGATATATAGTGTGTGTGACGCGCGAGCGATAAGTGTGTGTGTGTAGCGAGCGTGAGTGTGTGTGTGTGAGCAGCGATAGTGTTGTAGAGATCGAGGTTTGTGGATAGGGAAGAGGGTAAACCCTGTTGGAAAACGGGGTAGAAGGGGGTGAGGAGTGGAGGTCGTGTAGAGAGATGCGTGGTGTGGGAGGTTTGGGGAACGGGGGTAGAAGGTTGCAAAAAGGGAAAGGGGGTTGGGAGTTAGTGTGGGCCGTGTGAGCGGGGGTGTGTTGTGGTTCTTTTGGGGTTTGTGGGGCGAGGGGTGGTTGAGGTGGGGCCCCACCCTCTTTTTGTGTGGGGTTTTTGTGGCGGCGCCCCCGTGTTGGCCGGGTTTTTTTTCGGTTTGGCCCCGCCGCGGCGCTCCCCGGGCCCCCGCCCGCGCGTCCCCCGGCTGTCGGCCCCGTTGTTTGCGCGCGCGGGGCCCGCCCGGCGCGCTCCCGGTCCGCCGCGCTCTTGTGCCGTCCCCGCCGCCGCCTCTTGGGGGCCGCGCTCGTGCGCGCCTCGTGTGTGGTGCGCGCGTTTGTGCGCCCCCCCGCCCGCCCCTGGGGCCCGCCCGGGTGCCCGGGGCTGCCGGGTTGTGTGTGTGGGGTTTTGTGTGGGGGCCCGGAGTGTGTGTGGGGGGGTTTTGGGCCGGCCCGAGGGGGGCCCCCCCGGAAAGGTGGGGTTGTGGAGGTGTGTGTGTGTGGTGGTGTGTGTGTGTGGGGGGGGGGAGGGGGGGGTGTGGGGGGTTTTTGTGGGGGGGGGGTGGGGGGGCCCCCCCGTGTGTTCCCCCCCCCCCCTCCCCCCCCTCCCCCCCCGCCTCCCCGTCCCCCCCCCTCCCCCCCCCCCCCCCCTTTCCCCCCCCTCCCCCCCGCGCCCGCCCCTCCCCCCCCCCCCCCCCCCCTTTTTTGTTTTTTTGTGGCGCGGCCCTCGCGCGCGCTGGTGTGGGCGCGCTTGTTTGTGCCCCCCCCCCCGCGCGCTCCCCGGGTTCCGCCGCGCGCGTCCGCCCGCGCCGCTGCGCGCCGCTCGTGGGGGCCCGCCCCCCCGCCCGCCCCCCCCGCGCGCGCCGTGGTGTTGGGTGGTGTGCGGCGCGCCTCTGCGCGCCGCGCTCGTTGTTGTGCCCTTGTTTTGCGCGCCCCCCGCGCTGCCGTCCCCCGCGCGCGTCCGCCCGCGCGTGTGTCCGCGCCTCCGCCCGCCCCCGCCCCGCGTCCCCGGCGCCCGCGCGCGCGGGGTGTGTTCGCCGCCCGCCCCGCGCGTCGTGTGCGCGCGCGGCGCCGCCGCCGGGGGTTTGGCGTGGCCGCCGCCCGGGGCCCCCGCTCGCGCCCGGGGCCTCGTGTGTGTGCCCGTGCGCCCCCCGCGCGCGCCCCCCCCCCCCCGGCGCCCCCCCGCCCCGCGCCCCCCGCGCCGCCCGCCCCCCCCGGGGCCCCCCCCCCGGCGCCTCGTCCGGGCGCGCGCCCCCCGCCGTCTTGTGTTGCGCGCCGTTGTGGCGCCCCCCCGCCCGCTCCCGGTTCCGCCCGCCTCCCCCCCCGCCGCGCCCCGCGCCCCGCGCGCGCCGCCCGCCCGCGCGCGTCCCCCGCGCGCGCTCTGTGTGTTCCCCGGCTTTGTGCGCGCGCCCGCCCGCGCGCGCTCCCCGGGCCCGCCCGCGGGTCCGCCCCGCCCCCGTGTGTGTGCGCCCCCGCGTTTTTTGCGCCGCCGCCCCCCGCGCTCTTTGGGGCTGTGTGGGGTTTGGCCGGGCCGTGGTTTTTGGGGGCCCTGGGGCCGTGGGGCCGGTGTTTTTGGGTGTGGGGGCGGTGTGGGTGGGGGGTTTGTTTGTGTTGGGGCGTTGTGTGTGTGGGGCCGGTTTTGGGCGCGCGCCCCCCCGCCGCTCCCGGTCGCGCGGCGTGCGCGCGTTGTGCGCGCGTTTTGCGCGCCCTCGTGCGGCGCGGCTCGTTTTGGGTGTTGTGGCGCGCGCTGTGTGTGTGTGCCGGGGGTTTTGGGCGGCGCGCCCGCCCGCCGCTCCCCGGTCCCGCGCGCGTGCGCCGTGTGTGCGCCCTTTTTCGCCCGCTTGCGCGCGCGCGTTTTGTGGGGTGTGGGGTTGCCGCCCTCGTGTTTGTGCCGGGCGTTTGTGGCGCGCCGCCCCCCCGCGCCTCCCGGTCCCCCCCGGGCGCGCGTCCGCGCTTGTGCGCGCGGTTTTGGGGCCCCCCCCCCGGGGGGGGGGGGGGAGGAGAGATTAGGCTGATGTGCCACTGCCCATCGCCTCCCCTCCGGTGGGACCTCTACAAAAAACGCCCCCCCAAACCAAAACCCCCACTTCACCAATAAAGATGGAATGAAGCTACACACCACACCAGTGGAGGAAGGTTGAGGCCACACTCACCACACCAGTGGACGAAGGTTGAGGCCACACACCCGCTCGCGCACACACACACGCCTGAAACACACGCACACACAGCCGCAGCCAGTTGGAGAAGGCTGAGGACACTGGATGCCTTGTGCATCGTTGGGTCCTCGCCTCCCTGCAGATCCCCCCCCCCCCCCCCCCACACCCCCATGTCAGCTGCTCAACAACTCCCCCTCTTTTACAGCCCTTTTAAATTTTTTATTAACGGATGCCAATGGCGACAGCTAGACTTCCTGGGGTCCGACACATAACGAAAAATACATTACAGACAAAAACACTTTACAATTTACATACATTTAAAAACATTAACATAGACATTATAGACGTACACACATACAGTGCATTCGGAAAGTATTCAGACCCCTTCCCTTTTATCACATTTTGTTACGATACAGCTTTTTTCTAAAATGGAATAACTAAATAAATGACAAAGAAATAATAGGTTTTAAGAAATTTTTGCAAATAAAAATAACAGAAATACCTTATTTACATAAGTATTCTCACACACACACACACACAGATTTTGCTGCGAAGAGACATAATCATTAGATCATTTGTTTTGGTACTGTCCATCTGTAGCTTGTTTTTGGTCACAGGTCCAGGAATGGCTGAAGGATTGCAATATTTACCTGGAGCTAACCCTGCAGATAGCACTACTGGGTGATCTGAAAAGTCATAGTCAATCGATCAATAATATAATAATACTTTTAGCAAAAATGTTTATTTTCAATTTACAATCTGTAGAAACAATGAGCATAGAAGGGTTCAGAACTTTTGTGAAACATTACAGTTGAAAAATATATGGCAAATAGAAATCGAATATGGATGGTGTTAAGAGATAGATGGGAGGTGTTGAATAGAGCTGAAGGACGGAACTAATAACAACTAACAACTAATAACAACAAGATAACTAATGTAAAGAATACTGTGTCCATAATAAGTATATAGGTTATAGGTTGAGAGCTTTTGTGAAAGAGCTCAGTTAGAAAGATATGACATTTAGAAGCAAACCAGATGGACATCATGAAAATGATCGGAGAGGTTGAGGATAGAGGAAGTTCAGGAGTAAAAACAAACAAAATATAATTATTGTAAAATTGACTGTGTCCATAAAATGTATATAGTAAGTATAAGCTGGAAGTAGAGGCCTAAGCATTGTTGTTCACTAGTTTACTCCAATTAGGGAAGGGGTGGTGGGGTTGGAAAGTAATAAAGGGAAATATATTTTAAAAAAGGATATGTATATATATATGTATATGTATTTATATGTATATATGGACAGTGCCTTGCAAAAGTATTCATCCCCCTTGGCGTTTTTCCTATTTTGTGGCATTACAACCTGTCATTTAAATTGATTTTTATTTGGATTTCATGTAATGGACATACACAAAATAGTCCAAATTGGTATAGTGAAAGGAAAAAAATAACTTGTTTCAAAAAATTATATAAAATAAATAACGGAAAAGTGGTGCGTGCATATGTATTCACCCCCTTTGCTATGAAGCCCCTAAATAAGATCTGGTGCAACCAATTACCTTCAGAAGTCACATAATTAGTTAAATAATGTCCACCTGTGTGCAATCTAAGTGTCACATGATCTGTCACATGATCTCAGTATATTTACACCTGTTCTGAAAGGCCCCAGAGTCTGCCACACCACTAAGCAAGGGGCACCACCAAGCAAGCGGCACCATGAAGACCAAGGAGCTCTCCAAACAGGTCAGGGACAAAGTTGTGGAGAAGTACAGATCAGGGTTGGCTTATAAACAAATATCCGAAACTTTTAACATCCCACAACAAACCTGCCAAGAGAGAGCCGCCCACCAAAACTCACGGACCAGGCAAGGAGGGCATTAATCAGAGAGGCAACAAAGAGACCAAAGATAACCTTGAAGGAGCTGCAAAGCTCCACAGCGGAGATTGGAGTATCAGTCCATAGGACCACTTTAAGCCGTACACTCCACAGAGCTGGGCTTTACGGAAGAGTGGCCAGAAAAAAGCAATTGCTTAAAGAAAAAAAATAAGCAAACACGTTTGGTGTTCGCCAAAAGGCATGTGGGAGACTCCCCAAACATATGGAAGAAGGTACTCTGGTCAGATGAGACTAAAAAGGAAAACGCTATGTCTGGCGCAAACCCAACACCTCTCATCACCCCGAGAACACCATCCCCACAGTGAAGCATGGTGGTGGCAGCATCATGCTGTGGGGATGTTTTTCATCGGCAGGGACTGGGAAACTGGTCAGAATTTAAGGAATGATGGATGGTGCTAAAGACATCAAAATTCTTGAGGGAAACCTGTTTCAGTCTTCCAGAGATTTGAGACTGGGACGGAGGTTCACCTTCCAGCAGGACAATGACCCTAAGCATACTGCTAAAGCAACACTCGAGTGGTTTAAGGGAAACATTTAAATGTCTTGGAATGGCCTAGTCAAAGCCCAGACCTCAATCCAATTGACAATCTGTGGTATGACTTAAAGATTGCTGTACACCAACTTGAAGGAGCTGGAGCAGTTTTGCCTTGAAGAATGGGCAATAATCCTGTGGCTAGATGTGCCAAACTTATAGAGACATAACCCAAGAGACTTGCAGCTGTAATTGCTGCAAAGGGTGGAGTCCACCTGTGGTAAATTCAACTGATTGGACATGATTTGGAAAGGCACCCAGCTGTCTATATAAGGTCCCACTGTTGACAGTGCATGTCAGGGAAAAAAAACCAAGCCATGAGGTCGAAGGAATTGTCCGTGGAGCTCTGAAACAGGATTGTGACGAGGCACAGATTTGTGGAAGGGTACCAAAACATTTCTGCAGCATCGACTTTGTACATGACACAAGTCATTTTTCCAAAAATTGTTACAGACAGATTATTTCACTTATAATTCACTGTATCACAATTTCAGTGGGTCAGAAGTTTAAATACACTAAATTGACTGTGCCTTTAAACAGCTTGGAAAAATCCAGAAAATGGAATGGCTTTAGAAGCTTCTGATAGGCTAATTGACATCATTTGAGTCAATTGGAGGTGTACCTGTCGATGTATTTCAAGGCCTATCTTCAAACTCTGTGCCTCTTTGCTTGACATCATGGGAAAATCCAAAGAAATCAGCCAAGACCTCAGAAAATAAATTGTAGACCTCCACAAGTCTGGTTCTACCTTGGGAGCAATTTCCAAACGCCGGAAGGTACCACGTTCATCTGTACAAACAATAGTACGCAAGTATAAACACCATGGGACCACGCAGCCGTCATACCGCTCAGGAACGAGACGCGTTCTGTCTCCTAGAGATGAACGTACTTTGGTGTGAAAAGTGCAAATCAATCCCAGAACAGCAAAGGACCTTGTGAAGATGCTGGAGGAAACAGGTGCAAAAGTATCTATATCCACAGTAAAACGAGTCCTATATCGACATAACCTGAAAGGCCGCTCAGCAAGGAAGAAGCCACTGCTCCAAAACCTCCATAACAAAGCCAGACTATGGTTTGCAACTGCACATGGGGACAAAGATCGTACTTTTTGGAGAAATGTCCTCTGGTCTGATGAAACAAAAATAGAACTGTTTGGCCATAAAGACCATTGTTATTTTTTGGGGAAAAAGGGGGTTGCTTGCAAGCCAAAGAACACCATCCCAACCGTGAAGCATGGGGGTGGCAGCATCATGCTGTGGGGGTGCTTTGCTGCAGGAGGGACTGGGGCACTTCACAAAATAGATGGCATCATGAGGAAGGAAAATGATGTGGATATATTGAAGCAACATCTCAAGACATCAGTCAGGAAGTTAAAGCTTGGTCGCAAATGGGTCTTCCAAATGGACAATGACCCCAAGCATACTTCCAAAGTTGTAGCAAAATGGCTTAAGGACAACAAAGTCAAGGTATTGGAGTGGCCATCACAAAGCCCTGACCTCAATCCTATAGACAATGTGTGGGCAGAACTGAAAAGGCGTGTGCGACCAAGGAGGCCTACAAACCTGACTCAGTTACACCAGCTCTGTCAGGAGGAATGGGCCAAAATTCACCCAACTTATTGTGGGAAGCTTGTGGAAGGCTACCCGAAACTTTTGACCCAAGTTAAACAATTTAAAGGCAATGCTACCAAATACTAATTGAGTGTATGTAAACTTCTGACCCACTGGGAATGTGATGAAATAAATAAAAGCTGAAATAAATCATTCTCTCTACTATTATTCTGACATTTCACATTCTTAAAATAAAAGTGTTGATCCTAACTGACCTAAGACAGGGAATTTTTACTAGGATTAAATGTCAGGAATTGTGAAAAACTAATGTATTTGGCTAAAGTGTATGCAAACTTCCGACTTCAACTGTATGTAGTAGTGGTGGAGTAGGGGCCTGAGGGCACACAATGTGTTGTGAAATCTGTGAATATATTGTAATGTTTTCAAAATTGTATAAACTGCCTTAATTTTGCTGGCCCCAGGAAGAGTAGCTACTGCCTTGATCCATAATAAATACAAATACAAATACTTCTCAGTAAAAGGCACCTAAAGGACTCTCAGACCATGAGAAACAAGATTCTCTGGTCTGATGAAACCAAGATTGAACTCTTTGACCTGAATGCCAAGAGTCACGTCTGGACGAAACCTGGCACCATCCCTACGGTGAAGCATGGTGGTGGCAGCATCATGCTGTGGGGATGTTTTTCAGCGGCAGGGACTGGGAGACTAGTCAGGATCGAGGGAAAGATGAACGGAGCAAAGTACAGAGAGATCCTTGATGAAAACCTGCTCCAGAGCGCTCACCTTCGAACAGGACAACGACCCTAAGCACACAGCCAAGACAACGCAGGAGTGGCTTTGGGACAAGTCTCTGAATGTCCTTGAGTGGCCCAGCCAGAGCCCGGACTTGAACCCGATCGAACATCTCTGGAGTGACCTGAAAATAGCTGTGCAGCGACGCTCCCCATCCATCCTGACAGCGCTTGAGAGGATCTGCAGAGAAGAATCAGCAAACTCCCCAAATACAGGTGTGCCAGCCAAGCTTGTAGCGTCATACTCAAGAGGAGTCGAGGCTGTAATAGCTGCCAAAGGTGCTTCAACAAAGTACTGAGTAAAGGTCTGAATACTTATGTAAATGTGATTTTTTTCGTTTGTTTTTTAAATTGCAAACATTTCTAAAAACCTGTTTTTGCTTTGTCATTATGGGGTGTTGTGTGTAGATTGATAAGGGTATATTTTTTAAATCCATTTTAGAATAAGGCTGTAACGTAACAAAATGTGGAAAAAGTGTAGGGGTCTGAATACTTTCTGAATGTACTGTACATACATTACTACATATACATGTGCCTTAACCCTTCACCACTCCCTCAGTCTTTTATCACTCGCCTCACAGACTCCTTCCCTCTCTCCATCACAAGGCCTCTCCCTTAAACACTCCTTCCTTTAACACTCCTTCCTTCACTCCCTCCCTCTGTCTATCACAAGGCCTCTGCCTTGCATACTACTATCCCATCCCCTCTCTGCTAGCGTCTCTCACACATGGAGAAGAGAAGTGCCAACCGGCCACACCACAGTTGAGAACATGAGGCCCAGGGGCTAAGGATCCATCTATCTGGCCTCGGCACGGCTCCAGATGCTTGCTTTCTGCTTGATAAATCTAAACGCTTAATTACCACTCGGCATCTCACCGACAGCATTTTATATATTATATATACATTGTGTGTATGTCTTCTTCAGCAAGAGACATGCGGGGTATAGCCTTAAACGTTTATTAATAATTCATGTTTTGTTACATTGGTCTAAATTTAGAGCCACGCCAAATTGGGAGCAAATTATATTTAGCTATGCATCTCAAAGTGACGATGACTAATAATGACAACATATTTTCCATAATAATCGTAAAATCCCACGCAATAGGTAAAGTATTCTGACAATTCATGTATGAAACAACTCACCATTACCAATTGCCAAATTGTCAGGCAATAACCCAGAAAAGCCCAGAAGAAGGAGTCCCTCAATTGTATCAGTGACAAGGCAGGGAATATATTACTTTTTCCCTGTCTCTAATACTGTATAATTAGCCTCATGCAAATCATCTGCATGCTTGATTGCTCCGCTGAAATGCAAACTACACTCTTTCCTCTGAGGCCCATGCTCGCACGGTGGTGGTTGACTCTCTCTCTGCTGTGCTGCTGTGGTGACAATTACAAGTCTCTCTCTTTCTCCGGGTAAAAAGGCATGCCCTGATTGATGGTGAGAGAGCGAGAGAGACAGAACACCAGCCACTGGACATTCAGAGGAGTGATGGAGATGGAGCAGAGTAACCTATGAGAGGAATGGGTTGGAAACTGGGGATCAGTTTCTACTACTCATTTTATAACAAGAATGGAGTGGGCAACATATATAAAGGGTAGATCCCTGAGGACTGAGGTAGCTAGGTATATATTTCTACACTGAAGCTCCAGTATTATTGTGTGTATAGACTTTAGTTGGGTTAGTCTGTGTAGGCTATGGCATCTCTGGCCTGCCCACCTATTGAGCAATCATTCCCCTTTGACTTGGTGCTGAACACACACCCAGAGGGCTCTGGTTACAGTGAGGGAAAAAAGTATTTGATCCCCTGCTGATTTTGTACGTTTGCCCACTGACAAAGACATGATCAGTCTATAATTTTAATGGTAGGTTTATTTGAACAGTGAGAGACAGAATAACAACAAAATGTTATACATTGATTTGCATTTTAATGAGGGAAATAAGTATTTGACCCCTCTGCAAAACATGACTTAGTACTTGGTGGCAAAACCCTTGTTGGCAATCACAGAGATCAGACGTTTCTTGTAGTTGGCCACCAGGTTTGCACACATCTCAGGAGGGATTTTGTCCCACTCCTCTTTGCAGATCTTCTCCAAGTCATTAAGGTTTCGAGGCTGACGTTTGGCAACTCGAACCTTCAGCTCCCTCCACAGATTTTCTATGGGATTAAGGTCTGGAGACTGGCTAGGCCACTCCAGGACCTTAATGTGCTTCTTCTTGAGCCACTCCTTTGTTGCCTTGGCCTTGTGTTTTGGGTCATTGTCATGCTGGAATACCCATCCACGACCCATTTTCAATGCCCTGGCTGAGGGAAGGAGGTTCTCACCCAAGATTTGACGGTACATGGCCCCGTCCATCGTCCCTTTGATGCGGTGAAGTTGTCCTGTCCCTTTAGCAGAAAAACACCCCCAAAGCATAATGTTTCCACCTCCATGTTTGACGGTGGGGATGGTGTTCTTGGGGTCATAGGCAGCATTCCTCCTCCCTCAAACACGGCGAGTTGAGTTGATGCCAAAGAGCTCGATTTTGGTCTCATCTGACCACAACACTTTCACCCAGTTCTCCTCTGAATCATTGAGATGTTCATTGGCAAACTTCAGACGGGCCTGTATATGTGCTTTCTTGAGCAGGGGGACCTTGCAGGCGCTGCAGGATTTCAGTCCTTCACGGCGTAGTGTGTTACCAATTGTTTTCTTGGTGACTATGGTCCCAGCTGCCTTGAAATCATTGACAAGATCCTCCCGTGTAGTTCTGGGTTGATTCCTCACTGTTTTCATGATCATTGCAACTCCACGAGGTGAGATCTTGCATGGAGCCCCAGGCAGAGGGAGATTAACAGTTATTTTGTGTTTCTTCCATTTGCGAATAATCGCACCAACTGTTGTCACCTTCTCACCAAGCTGCTTGGCGATGGTCTTGTAGCCCATTCCAGCCTTGTGTAGGTCTACAATCTTGTCCCTGACATCCTTGGAGAGCTCTTTGGTCTTGGCCATGGTGGAGAGTTTGGAATCTGATTGATTGATTGCTTCTGTGGACAAGTGTCTTTTATACAGGTAACAAGCTGAGATTAGGAGCACTCCCTTTAAGAGTGTGCTCCTAATCTCAGCTCGTTACCTGTATAAAAGTCACCTGGAAGCCAGAAATCTTTCTGATTGAGAGGGGGTCAAATACTTATTTCCCTCATTAAAATGCAAATCAATTTATAACATTTTTGAAATGCGTTTTTCTGGATTTTTTTGTTGTTATTCTGTCTCTCACTGTTCAAATAAACCTACCATTAAAATTATAGACGGATCATTTCTTTGTCAGTGGGCAAACATACAAAATCAGCAGGGGATCAAATACTTTTTTCCCTCACTGTACCTGTTACTATGCCAACCAACGCATCCGAGAAGTGGGAAGTGGCAGAGAGGCACCTGGGGTCTGCTGTATGTCAGGGTGTCACCCCTCCCCCACCCTGCATGACTAACCCACAGAAGAGAGGAGAGGGAGGAAAAGGCAAAGTACTCATGTAAACACACAAGTTGGCAAGGTGAGGTAAGTGTATTCACTTTAATATGCTACATGATTAAAAACAACCCCTCTACATAATAACCAGCGTGTAGATCTCTGGAGATTACATTCAAATCAAATCAAATCAAATTTTATTGGTCACATGCGCCGAATACAACAGGTGCAGACATTACAGTGAAATGCTTACTTACAGCCCTTAACCAACAGTGCATTTCTTTTTAACAAAAAAAGTAAAAATATAACAACAACAAAAAAAGTGTTGAGAAAAAAAGAGCAGAAGTAAAATAAAATAACAGTAGGGAGGCTATATATACAGGGGGGTACCGTTGCAGAGTCAATGTGCGGGGGCACCGGCTAGTTGAGGTAGTTGAGGTAATATGTACATGTGGGTAGAGTTAAAGTGACTATGCATAAATAATTAACAGAGTAGCAGCAGCGTAAAAAGGATGGGGTGGGGGGGGCAGTGCAAATAGTCCGGGTAGCCATGATTAGCTGTTCAGGAGTCTTATGGCTTGGGGGTAGAAGCTGTTGAGAAGTCTTTTGGACCTAGACTTGGCACTCCGGTACCACTTGCCGTGCGGTAGCAGAGAGAACAGTCTATGACTAGGGTGGCTGGAGTCTTTGACAATTTTGAGGGCCTTCCTCTGACACCTCCTGGTATAGAGGTCCTGGATGGCAGGAAGCTTGGCCCCAGTGATGTACTGGGCCGTACGCACTACCCTCTGTAGTGCCTTGCGGTCGGAGGCCAAGCAGTTGCCATACCAGGCGGTGATGCAACCAGTCAGGATGCTCTCGATGGTGCAGCTGTATAATTTTTTGAGGATCTGAGGACCCATGCCAAATCTTTTCAGTCTCCTGAGGGGGAATAGGCTTTGTCGTGCCCTCTTCACGACTGTCTTGGTGTGTTTGGACCATGATAGTTCGTTGGTGATGTGGACACCAAGGAACTTGAAGCTCTCAACCTGTTCCACTACAGCCCCGTCGATGAGAATGGGGGCGTGCTCAGTCCTCTTTTTTTTTCTGTAGTCCACAATCATCTCCTTTGTCTTGGTCACGTTGAGGGAGAGGTTGTTGTCCTGGCACCACAAGGCCAGGTCTCTGACCTCCTCCCTATAGGCTGTCTCATCGTTGTCGGTGATCAGGCCTACCACTGTTGTGTCGTCGGCAAACTTAATGATGGTGTTGGAGTCGTGCCTGGCCATGCAGTCATGGGTGAACAGAGAGTACAGGAGGGGACTGAGCACGCACCCCTGAGGGGCCCCCGTGTTGAGGATCAGTGTGGCAGATGTGTTGTTACCTACCCTTACCACCTGGGGGCGGCCCGTCAGGAAGTCCAGGATCCAGTTGCAGAGGGAGGTGTTTAGTCCCAGGATCCTTAGCTTAGTGATGAGCTTAGAGGGCACTATGGTGTTGAATGCTGAGCTGTAGTCAATGAATAGCATTCTCACGTAGGTGTTCCTCTTGTCCAGGTGGGAAAGGGCAGTGTGGAGTGCAATAGAGATTGCATCATCTGTGGATCTGTTGGGGCGGTATGCAAATTGGAGTGGGTCTAGGGTTTCTGGGATAATGCTGTTGATGTGAGCCATGACCAGCCTTTCAAAGCACTTCATGGCTACAGACGTCAGTGCTACGGGTCGGTAGTCATTTAGGTAGGTTATCTTAGAGTCCTTGGGCACGGGGACTATGGTGGTCTGCTTGAAACATGTTGGTATTACAGACTCAGTCAGGGACATGTTGAAAATGTCAGTGAAGACACTTGCCAGTTGGTCAGCACATGCTCGGAGTACACGTCCTGGTAACCCGTCTGGCCCTGCGGCCTTGTGAATGTTGACCTGCTTAAAAGTCTTACTCACATCGGCTACGGAGAGCGTGATCACATAGTCATCCGGAACAGCTGGTGCTCTCATGCATGCTTCAGTGTTGCTTGCCTCGAAGCGAGCATAGAAGTGGTTTAGCTCGTCTGGTTGGCTTGTGTCACTGGGCAGCTCGCGGCTGTGCTTCCCTTTGTAGTCTGTAATAGTTTTCAAGCCCTGCCACATCCGACGAGCGTCAGAGCCAGTGTAGTACGATTCAATCTTAGTCCTGTATTGACTCTTTGCCTGTTTGATGGTTCGTCGGAGGGCATAGCGGGATTTCTTATAAGCGTCCGGGTTAGAGTCCCATTCCTTGAAAGCGGCAGCTCTACCCTTTAGCTCAGTGCGGATGTTTCCTGTAATCCATGGCTTCTGGTTGGGGTATGTACGTACGGTCACTGTGGGGACGACATCATCGATGCACTTATTGATGAAGCCAGTGACTGATGTGGTGTACTCCTCAATGCTGTCTGAAGAATCCCGGAACATGTTCCAGTCTGTGCTAGCAAAACAGTCCTGTAGCTTAGCATCTGCGTCATCTGACCACTTTTTTATTAACCGAGTCACTGGTGCTTCCTGCTTTAGTTTTTGCTTATAAGCAGGAATCAGGAGGATAGAGTTATGGTCAGATTTGCCAAATGGAGGGCGAGGGAGAGCTTTGTATGCGTCTCTGTGTGTGGAGTAAAGGTGGTCTAGAGTTTTTTTTCCTCTGGTTGCACATTTAACATGCTGGTAGAAATTAGGTAGAACGGATTTAAGTTTCCCTGCATTAATGTCCCCGGCCACTAGGAGCGCTGCATCTGGATGAGCGTTTTCCTGTTGATTTATGGCCTTGTACAACTCATTCAGTGCAATCTTAATGCCAGCATTGGTTTGTGGTGGTAAATAGACAGCTATGAAAAATATAGATGAAAACTCTCTTGGTCTTCATATTACTGTTCTGACAGAGCAGACCAAGACGGAGCCCACACCAGCCTACATTACTCCGTCGTGGGAGCTTAATAAAAACACATGCACACACACAAAGACAGAAGGGGTGTGTCAGATCTCTCGCTCTCTCTCATTCATACATGCACACAAGCAACTTCAGCAGAGATCTTAATACTAAAATAGGTACAGTCACTTCCAGAACAGCAAATGACTCACTATATCTGACACATGGATGCAGTCAGTCCTCAGTCAAACACACCACACTACTCCGAGCTAGAGAGGCTATTCAGATTTGCCACCCATTTCCAGACTCTGTATTTCATTAAGACATTTCAGCAGGATAATAAACTCAGCAAAAAAAGAAACGTCCCTTTTTCAGGACCCTGTCTTTCAAAGATAATTTGTAAAAATCCAAATAACTTCACAGATCTTCATTGTAAAGGGTTTAAACACTGTTTCCCATGCTTGTTCAATGAACCATAAACAATTGTGGAACGGTCGTTAAGACACTAACAGCTTACAGACGGTAGGCAGTTAAGGTCACAGTTATGAAAACTTAGGACACCAAAGAGGCCTTTCTACTGACTGAAAAACACCAAAAGAAAGATGCCCAGGGTCCCTGCTCGTCTGCGTGAACGTGCCTTAGGCATTCTGCAAGGAGGCATGAGGACTGCAGATGTGACCAGGGCAATAAATTGCAATGTTCGTACTGTGAGACACCTAAGACAGCGCTACAGAGAGACAGGATGGACAGCTGATCGTCCTCGCAGTGGCAGACCACGTGTAACAACACATGCACAGGATCGGTACATCCGAACATCACACCTGCGGGACAGGTACAGGATGGCAACAACAACTGCCCGAGTTACACCAGGAACGCCCAATCCCTCCATCAGTGCTCAGACTGTCCGCAACAGGCTGAGAGATGCTGGACTGAGGGCTTGTAGGCCTGTTGTAAGGCAGGTCCTCACAAGACATCACCGGCAACAACGTTGCCTATGGGCACAAACCCACCGTCGCTGGACCAGACAGGACTGGCAAAAAGTGCTCTTCACTGACGAGTCACGGTTTTGTCTCACCAGGGGTGATGGTCGGATTCGCGTTTATCGTCGAAGGAATGAGCGTTACACCGGGGCCTGTACTCTGGAGCGGGATCGATTTGGAGGTGGAGGGTCCGTCATGGTCTGGGGCGGTGTGTCACAGCATCATCGGACTGAGCTTGTTGTCATTGCAGGCAATCTCAACGCTGTGCGTTACAGGAAAGACATCCTCCTCCCTCATGTGGTACCCTTCCTGCAGGCTCATCCTGACCCTCCAGCATGACAATGCCACCAGCCATACTGCTCGTTCTGTGCGTGATTTCCTGCAAGACAAGAATGTCAGTGTTCTGCCATGGCCAGCAAAGGGCCCGGATCTCAATCCCATTGAGCATGTCTGGGATCTGTTGGATCGGAGGGTGAGGGCTAGGGCCATTCCCCCCAGAAATTTCTGGGAACTTGCAGGTGCCTTGGTGGAAGAGTGGGGTAACATCTCACAGCAAGAACTGGCAAATCTGGTGCAGTCCATGAGTAGGAGATGCACTGCAGTACTTAATGCAGCTGGTGGCCACACCAGATACTGACTTACTTTTGATTTTGACCCTCCCTTTGTTCAGGGACACATTATTCAATTTCTGTTAGTCACATGTCTGTGGAACTTGTTCAGTTTATGTCTCAGTTGTTGAATCTTGTTATGTTCATACAAATATTTACACATGTTAAGTTTGCTGAAAATAAACGCAGTTGACAGTGAGAGGACGTTTCTTTTTTTGCCGAGTTTATGTATGCGGATGATTACACACTACATGTCAGCACCCAAAGCCAGTGAGCTCACTGAAATTCTAAATAAGGAGTTACAGTCAGTATCAGAATAGGGGATTAATAATAAACTGGTCATAAATACAGCTAAAACTAAAAGCATTGTATTTGTTTTAAAACATTCTCTAAAACCTAAACCTCAACTGGAGTTGTGTAGAAATGGTGTGACCATTGAACAAGTTGAGGAACTCCTAGGTATAACATTGGATGGTCAATTATCATGGTCAAGTCATATTGACAAAGTTGTTGTGTAGATGGTGAGGGCTATGTCTGTTATAAAAAGATGTTCTGCGTTTTTGACACAATTCAACTGTACTAGTTGTTCAAGCTCTGGTCTTGTCCCATCTTGATTACTGTCTGGTAATATGGTCAAGTGCAGCAAATATTATTGTATTGACATTTCCAAACTGTCTGTATATTCAACTTACATATAGCTCTGAAAGACATACCTACTCCACCAGACATTCCACTAGGAGTCTCTTCACAGTGCCCAAATCCAGAAGGAATTCAAGGCAACCCACAGTATTATATAGAGTAATGATCACATGGAACTCCCTTCCATCTGAAATTACTCAAGCAAACAGCAAAATTTGCTTTAAAAAAACAAATAAAACAACACCTCACAACGCCTCTCCCCTATCTGACCTAGTTGTAATATCTACGTTAATGATTTTAAATGTATCTAAATTGTAAAGTATTTTTGTCTGTATTATTTTTTTCCGTTATGTGTCGAACCCCAGTAAGACTAGCTGTCACCCCCCACCCCCACACACACCAACCCAGTTGTGAAGAAGGCACGACAATGGCCTCTTCCCCCTCAGGAGGCTGAAAAGATTTGGCATGGGCCCTCAGATCCTCAAAAAGTTTTACAACTGCACCATTGAAAGCATCTTGACTGGCTGCATCACCGCTTGGTATGGCAACTGCTTGGCATCCGACCGCAAGATGCTACAGAGGGTAGTCCGAACGGCCCAGTACATCACTGGAGCCGAGCTCCTTGCCATCCAGGACCTCTATACCAGGTGGTGTCAGAGGAAGGTCCTAAAAATTGTCAAAGACTCCAGCCACCAAAGTCATAGACTGTTCTCTCTGCTACCACACGGCAAGCGGTGCCGATACACCAAGTCTGGAACCTACAGGACCCTGAACAGCTTCTTCCCCCATGCCATAAGACTGCTAAATAGTAAACCAAATCGCTACACGGACTATCTGCATTGACCCCCCCCCCCTTTGCAGTAACTCTTTTGACTCAATCCATACGCTGCTGCTACTGCCTATTATCTATCCTGTTGCCTAGTCACTTAACCCCTACCTATATGTACATATCTACCTCAATTACCTCGTACCCCTGCACATCAACTTGGTACTGGTACCCTGTGTATATATCCAAATTATCATTAATCATTGTGTATTTATTCCTTGTTTTATTATCTTTCTATTATTTTTCTCTCTGCATTGTTGGGAAGGGCACGTAAATAAGCATTTCCCTGTTTGTCTACACCTGTTGTTTACGAAGCACGTGACAAATACATTTGATTTGAGTTTTACTTCAAATCAAATCAAATTTTATTGGCCACATGCGCCGAATACAACAGGTGCAGACATTACAGTGAAATGCTTACTTACTTTGGGAGCACTGTGCGACTGGGAAAAACATCTCCCAGATAATAATTGTTGTAATGATAAGGCTTCACTGTACTGTTATTTCCAAGTGGCCTAGAGAAAAAGATTTGCACCATTACTACAGCAAAAACGGTTTGTAGAAGGATTACTTTATCCTATCCCAGGTGTTCCTTAAAGAGGTGGGGTTTCAAATGTCTCCGGAAGGTGGTGAGTGACTCCGCTGTCCTGACGTCGTGAGGGAGCTTGTTCCACCATTGGGGTGCCAGAGCAGCGAACAGTTTTGACTGGGCTGAGCGGGAACTGTGCTTCAGCAGAGGTAGGGGAGCCAGCAGGCCAGAGGTGGATGAACGCAATGCCCTCGTTTGGGTGTAGGGACTGATCAGAGCCTGAAGGTACGGAGGTGCCGTTCCCCTCACAGCTCCGTAGGCAAGCACCATGGTCTTGTAGCAGATGCGAGCTTCAACTGGAAGCCAGTGTAGTGTGCGGAGGAGCGGGGTGACGTGAGAGAACTTGGGAAGGTTGAACACCAGACGGGCTGCGGCATTCTGGATGAGTTGTAGGGGTTTAATGGCACAGGCAGGGAGCCCAGCCAACAGCGAGTTGCAGTAATCCAGACGGGAGATGACAAGTGCCTGGATTAGGACCTGTGCCGCTTCCTGTGTAAGGCAGGGTCGTACTCTCCGAATGTTGTAGAGCATGAACCTACAGGATCGGGTCACCGCCTTGATGTTAGCGGAGAACGACAGGGTGTTGTCCAGGGTCACGCCAAGGCTCTTCGCACTCTGGGAGGAGGACACAACGGAGTTGTCAACCGTGATGGCGAGATCATGGAACGGGCAGTCCTTCCCCGGGAGGAAGAGCAGCTCCGTCTTGCCAAGGTTCAGCTTGAGGTGATGGTCCGTCATCCATACTGATATGTCTGCCAGACATGCAGAGATGCGATTCGCCACCTGGTTATCAGAAGGGGGAAATAATAATAATGAAACAGAAGAAAAAGAAACCTCTAGCAGAGCGCTTTCCACACACCCACTCCTTTCCACACGCCCACTACCTAATATTCCACAAATTACTTTGTAATTTCAATGACAGGTATTCATATCAACATTTTAGCTTTTCTAATAAATTAATGTCTTTACAGTATAACATATTATTTTCTATGGCACAACATGTGCTTCAAAAGTATCTACAATTCATATAGGCTGTATCTAAATTAAAACAATTTTTTAACTTATTTTCTGGTGCTCCTAAACTTCATGTGGTGCTCCTAACGTTTTTAAGTTGGGAGCACCAGTGCTACCAATGAGCCCTGACCCTTACATACACATGCATCCATAATGGCTGCCTTCATCCTTTGCAGGATGCAAGCAGCAGCAGAGTAGTGTGTGTGTGTGTGTGTGTGTGTGTGTGTGTGTGTGTGTGTGTGTGTGTGTGTGTGTGTGTGTGTGTGTGTGTGTCAGTGGAGGCTCCTCAGAGGAAGTGGATGACCATGCTCCTCAGTGAATTTCATAAAAATAAAAATTGTAAAACATTTAAAAAGTTACCCTTTTTAGATAAAACTATACTAAATATATTATAATAATTGATTAAAACACACTGTTTGCAATGAAGGTCTACAGTAGCCTCAACATCACTCTGTAGGGTAGCACCATGGTTTAGCTGGAGGACAGCTAGCTTCCGTCATCCTCTGGGTACATTGACTTCAATACAAAACCTAGGAGGGTCATGGTTCTCACCCCCTTCCATGGACTTACACAGTAATTATGACAACTTCCGGAGGACGTCCTCCAACCTATCAGAGCTCTTGCAGAATGAACTGACATGTTGTCCACCCAATCAAAGGATCAGAGAATGAATCTAGTACTGAAAGCATAAGTTACAGCTAGCTAGCACTGTAGTGCATAACATGTGGTGAGTAGTTGACTCAAAGAGAGAGAAAGACAATAGTTGAACAGTTTTGAACAAATACATTTCTTCCAAAATGAAGGAGAAGTAAGAGAGAGAGAGATTTCGTAAAAAATCACTTTCAGTTTCACTTACTTAGCTAGCAAATGCAGCTAGCTAGTTTAGCCTACTCAAACACTCTGCTCAAAAAGAGGGATGCTATGTTAGCTAGCTAGCTATGACTTCCAAGTCAAGGTAAGCGTTTGGTTTTACTAATTTATTGGCACAAGGGCCCGCAGGTGTTAGTTCTAAAATGCTTACTGACTGTACACTGTAACGTTACTGCATGATTGTAGCGGGTTTACTAATGCGTTAGTTCTATTAGCTATGTTGACTTATGCCGTTACTTTAGCAAATATGGTGATAACGATGTAGGCTGTGTGTAGCAGTTATGATATGGTTTGGCTTGGAAAGGTTTTTTCACCTGGTCACATGATGTGTTGTGCATTGAAGTTCACAAGCAAAGGGAAAATGTGAGAGGAGGAGAGCGCATAGATGGGTTTGTTTCCCACGGGGGGGCCAGTATGAAAATGTATGCACTCACTAACTGTAAGTCACTCTGGGTAAGAGCGTCTGCTAAAGGACTGAAATGTAAAATGTAAATGCGAGAAGGAATACAACGTGGCTGCTATGAAAGTGAACTTTGACACCACACTCCAAAAAGCAAGATCTGCAAGCTCTGGTTTTGTCTATTCTTGATTATTGTCCAGTCATTTGGTCCAGTGCGGCAAAGAAATACCTAGTTAAGCTGCAGCTGGCCCAAAACAGAGCGGCACGTCTTGCTCTTCATTGTAATCAGAGGGCTGATATAAATACTATGCATGCCAGTCTCTCTTGGCTAAGAGTTGAGGAGATACTGACTGCATCACTTCTTCTTTTTATAAGAAACATTAATGTGTTGAAAATCCCAAATTGTTTGCATATTGAACTTACACACAGCTCTGACACACACACTTACCCCACCAGACATGCCACCAGGGGTCTTTTCACAGTCCCCAAATCCAGAACAAATTCAAGAAAGCGTACAGTATTATATGGAGCCATTATTGCATGGAACTCCGTTCCATCTCATATTGCTCAAATAAAAAGCAAACCTGGTTTCAAAAACCAGATAAAGCAATACCTCACGGCACAATGCCTCTCCCCTATTTGACCTAGATAGTTAATACGTGTACGTATTGATATGTAGGCTATGTGTGCCTTTAAAAATAATGTATGTAGTTCTGTCCTTGAGCTGTTCTTGTCTATTAATGTTCTGTATTATTTCAGGTTTTGTGTGGACCACAGGAAGAGTAGCTGCTGCCTTTGCAACAGCTAATGGGGATCCTAATAAAATACCAAATACCAAACTGTTTACGTGTGATCAGGGGTGTATTCGTTCCGCCGATTCTGTTGAAAAACGTTTCTTAAACGGAAGCAAACGGAACGAAACAGGGATAAACATACCTGAATTTGTCCAATAGAAACTCTCGTTTGCAACTATTGGACTAATGATTACACCCTAGATCAGCTAGATGCAAGCAAGAGTGTGCAAGGCGGTATTGAATGTGTCACTGTCTGTCCATGTGTTACTGTCTGTCACCTCAATTTTTTCTCTCGATATGTGTGCACCTACGTTGTAAACCATTCATAGGCTAGGTTCTAGCAACCTCATGATGGGTATAGAGAAAATGTGAGTATCATGTAGTAGCCTAAACCTATCGCTGTTACATTGAACTGGGTGAATGGAATATGAATGACAGTCATCCAATATGCTGTATTAAAAATTAAATAAAATTGTCCTCCCTCATCTTAAACGGCACCGACCGCCACTGGTGTGTGTGTGTGTGTGTGTACACGTGTGTGTGCCCCCCAGGATATACACAGAACAGGATAGTTACATCACAGAGACCTGAGTCCTACCCCTCCAAGCGCCAACCCTTATGCCTGAAGGACCCATAACTGCCAACAACACTCTCTGATTTATTCCTAGCTTTAGTGTTACGCTACTAAACAAAAACGTGAATGTCGTTTCTCACTTAAATAAAAAAGAAAAATACAGAAATATACTAATTGATTGGATTCATAAACATGTACATAAGCAAAGGGAAAGTGGAGAAAAAGGGGCACAGAGAGAGAGAGAGAGAATGAGAGAGAGAAAGAGAGAGAGAAAGAGAGAGCGAGACAGAGAGACAGAAAGAGAGAGAGAAAGAGAGAGAAAGACAGAGAGAAAGACAGGGAGCGAGAGAGAGGAAGAGAGACACAGAGAGCGAGAGCGAGAGAGAAAGAGAGAGCCTTCAAATACACCGCTGCCTGAGTACAATATGCCACCACTCCCCCTAACACTCTCAAAGGCACAACTTGTCATGCAGGCGAGAGCACAGCATATATTCTAGTTGTTGTTTATTCTAGTATCAAAAAGCACACAGAGAAATGCTGCTATACAGTACACTCATTAGGGGCTTCCATTGTGTGCTTAAAAGCGAGTCCAAAAGCAGCAGAATGTCACACAATTAAGAGCAAAGAATAATCACTCTGCCGAATGAGCAACGGCAAAAAATACAGAGGTAAATACATCTCTCAGCTAAGTGGGTTCTGGGTTTTGGGGGTTTTGTTTCTTTTCTTTCTTTAATAAGAGATCAATTTCTCTCATAATTCACTAGAAAGACTACCAAGACAGAACCAAAGAAAGCCCACTTGGTTAAGAGAGATCTAAAATAGAAATATAGTGAAGGGCTTATATGAGCAAATTGAGTGACCGGGAGCCAGTTCAATACAGGGGAGCAGCGTGTAATTTGTATGATTAAATTATATGCTAGATTACAGAGAAAGCTCGGAAAGCCTCAAGCCTCATTCCTCCAATTCCAGCCCATCAAGAAAATATTAGAAATACGAAAGGAAACTAAATGGGACGTGTCAGCATTTTACACTCCCTCCCTCCTCATCCTCCTCCACCCAAAATAAACCATTAGGCAGTTATGTGCTGGGGCGCCAAGGAAAAGATAACTAAAAAGGTGTCGGTGAGAGGCTTGTGCCTTTCCCTTCACCTTGAACATGCAGAATGGGAGCAGGCTCAACTCCTTTTTCCAAACGTAGTTGAGACTTTTTCCAGTCAGTTAGTCAGTCAGTCACTAGATCCCAACTAATAGTGCTGTCGACTGATGAGCACCAATATGGGGGATAGCGGTGGGTGAACAAACAGCCAAAAGACCCCCCTCTCCCCCAAACCACCTATAAGACGTAAGACTGAGAAAGAGGTAGACGCCACCTGCCAGTAGATCACCCCCCCATCTTTCTCCCACTGAATCAGCAAGCACCGCTCCTTTCCTCCGGTCTCCGCCCACGCCCCAATCGTCACTCCTGGAGCCAAAATAATGTCAATTAGACAGGTCAGTAAAAATCTCACCATTTTAACAACCCCAGCAGACATAGACTTCACTGGGCATAAGCGAGAGAGAGAATTTCTAAATCTGATAGGGGCCTTCCAGCAGGTAGCATAAGACTTGAATCGGAGTCTACAATCTCCAGCAGGATCAGACTGGATCTGGACTGACTCCATACGGGCTGAGCCCATTTAGCAGCAATGACACAACACAAGACATCCCATCTAAACAATGCAACACAACCAGGTCAGATTTAATCTACAGCAGACAAGGCTGTCCACTTTAATCTGTGGAAGGAACCAGCAGTCGGTGAGATTCACTGATAGCTAACATAGCTGCTTAAACAAAATTGCATGGAATATGTGCAAGAGGTGGTTTTAAACTCCTACGATTGTGAGACTGGAAGGAAGGGGTTTGATGAATACAGGCCACATAGACTGGCCACAGTGTCATCGTTAAGGATACATTTCCTCAAAGTAGTCGATGTGTGGAGGCTGTAGGATGTCGAGAGCCGAGAGCACCTGTGGAGAGGAGAGGAGAGGTCAGGCACGTCCGCAGGGAGGGGAGGGAGAGAGGGAACAGTGAGAGGGAGGGATCAAAGAGAGAAAGAGAATAGAGAGTAGGAAAGGACAGAGAGCAAGAGGTGAGGGTGGGAGATGACAGGGGGAAGAGAAGGAAAGAGGGAGAAACCAAGAGAGGGGAGGGAGGAGGGAGGCTAGCCATCCACTCACGTTATCATGTTTGAAGAAGCACAGCATTTTCAGCTCACGGAAGACCCTCTTACAGGAGACGAGGTTCTGGAAGACGTTGGGCATCTTTTTGAGGGCGACTCGCTTTCCATCCCGGGGGTCCGTCACTGACCTGGAGTGGAGGATCAGAGAATGAGACGAGACCCTCACAGACAGCAAGCTCCTGTCATAGCCCTGTAGTTGATGGCCCCTTTGTCAGAGTGAGTGGCAATACAGTAAAGGATTTTTTTTTTTAATAGCATGAAAAAACAAGCATAGTCTCTAAGAAATGATCAATACTAACAGTGCTATGAGAGAAATAAGTGCAGTTCAGGTTGAACGCTGCTTTGGTTATGCTACTAAAAAGGTACTATCATCTAAGCAGGGGTGCGATTTGGTTACGCTACTAAAGGTAATATCATTTTAGCAGGGGTGACGTAACTGCAAACCCACAAATACAAATTAATCTCACACCAGGAAGGTCACATTCAGTGGTGTTCCTGTATTAAATAGCTATATTTATTTAATTTAAGACCTCCCCTGGCACCCACATCTCACTTAAAGGACACAAACACACGCACGTTGACACAAACCCACGCAAACGTGCACACACACACACACACTTACGTACACTACAGCACCCCGCACAGTCACACACAAACTCACATACACCAATGTACCCATGAACCCTCTCGCTCTCTCTCTCTCACACACACACTTCCAGGCCGAGAGATGAGAAGCAGTAACCACCTTGAGGATCTCTCAGACCCTCACAGTTTTTAAATCAGCAAGCCTTTTAGAGATGAAACGCTTTTCCAAAATAATATTATCCCCCACTTCAAACAGAGCAGGAAAAATAAACCCTAAAACCATAAGAGTTTAATCTAAGAAAAGGCTGGTTCCAGAATGGCCAGGAGTGAAAAATGTACCCATCGATTGTGGTTTGATTCAAACCTACAGCCAGGTACCATGCAGCAAGCCTTCTGATGTGGGCCGACAGGGTACCTGCTGATCAGGGCATCACTGGGAGAGCACGGGGAGCGTGGGGGGAAATCAAGGAGGACGGGAGGGAGGAGGGGGTCCTGATGCGATTTTTCGCTTGGATGGCCCGACTACGCACTGACTCACAGTGACACACAGTGACGTTCAGAAGAGAGCAAAGAGAACCCCAGTTGGAATTCAGGTCTGAAGCCTGCCTGGCCAACCAGATCTTGTCATAAATACAACATACAGCGGCCAACGCCGCTGAAACAGTCTGCATCTCTGGCAGAACATTGATCTGTGTGGTTGAGACCTGTGTGCTATGCCGCCTGCTATCCACTGCCCAAGTCATGCAAGAATCCAATTCAATACTGCACACGTTAGTGAGAGTAACTTGTTTTTATAATTTGAATTTTTAGGACAGTACCTATGAAATGTACCATCTTGCTTTCGAGGGGGTCTTGTGCTGCATGTTTTTGCTAATGCAAAATCCCCACCTCCGTGGAGTAACCTATACACCTCTGTGGAATAACCTATACACCTCCGTGGAGTAACCTATACACCTCCGTGGAGTAACCTATACACCTCTGTGGAATAACCTATACACCTCCGTGGAGTAACCTATACACCTCCGTGGAGTAACCTATACACCTCCGTGGAGTAACCTATACACCTCCGTGGAGTAACCTATACTTCAGACGACTCCTCGGTTTCCTGTTTAAAATATATTTTGAGATATAGGTTTTAACGCCAGCCTGGGCTCTCTCAAGTGTCAACTTTATGGGAAATGTACTAGCTAATGTGCCATAGTTCATCTTGTCCTATCGTTACATTACAACAACTACAGTAGGGTTGTCCCCAACAAAAGTAATCTGTTCTTTCGACCAATTGACTCGTCGAAATTTTTAAACGAGTATTTTTCCATATATAGACACGCCCTATGTGTTTAATAAAATCAACTACATGTAGGCTACAGAGCTGTCTGATGCTTTAAGCACACTGTGATTAAATAATTAAAGACACACACATTACTCAAGAGGGAGCTAGAGATCAAGATAGCCTAACCAGAAGAAGTAAAACCTGATCCTGAACCACCTCCTCCTGCTGCTGCTGGCCTTCACAGATTCTGCCATTACGCTCCCGAAGTTGCTGGTAATAGGCTACACCAGGGGTCAGCAACCTTTTCCATTTAGAGTGCCAATTTAATCTTACAATTTCTACCGATCTGCGTGCCAGTTATGATTTTCATATGCACATTTTCGTGGAACAGTTTCATTTCTTTTATAATAAATTCTTTGTATCTCAAAATCATTGTCATGTGATTATTAAGAATTCTATATAAATGAAAATTATACAAAATCTAAAAGTAACTTCTATTGCCATTGCCAACTTTGTAAAAATAGCCTACATAAAGCCAACAAATAAAAGTATTGCAGCCTGCAGGTAGAAAATATCCTGATAAAAATACATCACATTGGCTATGCATGGCCTGTCTGCAAGGAACTTGAAACATTGTATTAACTATCAACTTGGTCCAGCCCCAAGCTTGCTCTAACAAACTTGCAACATTGTATAACATATTCTGGACCCACACCAGTGAGCTCCGGATAGACACAGCTGTAGGCTATTTGAACAAGGTACAAGAAGTAATCAGGTAGGCCCATTTTATTACGTTTCCACATGATCAGAGCATGACATTTTATTCCCTTTCACGTGAGTGGTTATCGAAAGGGAGCTGGAAAGATTTTTCAAATAGGCTACATTGAGGAACTATTGTCATTCTCAATTGATAAAAACAGCCTTCGTTTACTTTTTATTTATTTATTGCTTTGAGAAGCTCCACAGCTCATTAGTGGTGGTGAGTTAAGCCAATCAGAAATACTATCAGATCCCCAAATGGGCACATTCAAAAGCCTACATTTGCACACAGGCCTACTTTTATGCGTAATCATGTGCATGTCCTTACTCAACATTGACAGGAGCGCTTCAAATTAAACACAATGAATGAATTCACAACTCATAAATGAAATGAAATAAACCAAAACTTGTTTCTCACAAGTGTAGCCTAGGTTGCGTGCTCTGCAAACAACATGTCCACTCCGACAATGAGAACTGTAAAAGACTGTAATAGTAATATATTGAATGCATTAACAGAAATTACGGTAACCAAACAAACATTGTAGATGAGAAATTATGGGAATTAACGGTAAATGTACTACTGGTGATACTGCTGTGCCATCCCCGCGGCCTCCGCAATGGATTAGGCCACTGAGACAGGCGTCAAACAAGACGGTCCATACATATATATATATATATTTTTTTTGCAACAGCCGGACAAAAAAATTATCGGTCGACCAACAGCCCGTCAACCAAACAATCGACCAGTCGACTAAATGGGGTCAGCCCTAAACTACAGTGTCATATTCAGAAGAAACAAACAAAGGTATGTTTGAAATGTCAATAATCATGTTATTTTTTGCCTCACACCAAATGAAATCACACGGTGGCCTGGTGAGTTTACTGACAGCAACAAGCCTTATTTTCCACCGCAAGGTTAACGCCATCATAATGCATTTTTTAGAAGGCGTATTTTAGACCCCAAAAAAAGGGGAGGCGGAAGGGAGAAGCAGAAGGTACCTCATCTGTTTATTATTAATAGACGGTGTGTTTCAGGCTGCTAGTGAAGGACCTGCAGTCACAGCAGCAACATTCTGTGGTTTCTGGGCCCTCTGTCTCCCCCATAGAGCAGCACAGACAGCAGCTGCCTGCCTGCCTCTCCCCCATCCTGCATGCTCATCATGACCAGTGTAGCTCTCTCTCGCTTCACAAACACAGGAATGCTTTCATTATTGTTGCTGTGTGTGTGTCTTGGCCGGGAGGAAGGGAGGGACAGGTAAACACCTCTCTGAATAAGCCAGCATTAAGCCTGACCTGACCTGTCACTGTCCACAATGCAGTCCACAGCTACACATCAAACTCACACTGGATCTGGTTCCACCCCAGCACGGTCAGCTCAGAAGAACAGGCACAGGTTACTCCACAAGACACTCAAACATTGGGAGGTTTCACGCTCCTCATTAATCAAAAGAAGAAGTGTTGAGTAACTCATCAGTCAACAGTGGGACGTCAGCTTTGCCCCTTGCTTACATGCCACCTAGCAGATCTATGGTTTAATCATTATGATGAAAACCATGTTCATGCATACATCCACCCCTTCAGTGGTGCAGTAGATCTGCTGTCATTTTCCATATACTTATTACTGGCCATGGGAGGGTGATTGTTACAGAAACCCCACAGGTGGGTAAAAGGTCAATGCCCTCACGACCAGACTCCAGCAGCTAATGGAAAAATAGTGGGGGTGATGCAACATGTCCCTGTGACAACAACAAACACTATATAATACCAGCACAGAGAACAGCACAGTACGAGTTGTCCTCTACAGGCAGGAACAGTTTGTCCAAACATTTGTTATAGAGAAGAATAGCAAGTTTAGTCCCACAATAGCCTTAATGATCACAAAACAAATGCATGTCTGTGTAATGTGCTACTCAGATAAAGGCAGTATCTTAGATTACTGTAGATTACTGACGTATTTAGATTAAAATGTGCGTTCAGTGCTGAGAGTCGTTTAGCAGTGTTTCCCCTATATTCATTAAGCAGCGGCGGGCTGCCGCTGCTAAATAGTTGCCGCCACTCCAAATGAACATCTTATTTGAAAATACTTTTCGGCATGGTAAAACATTTTCAGTGTAAACTTAAATGACTGAAACCAGATTTAAAGTATTTAGAAAATATAATCTAAAAATATCATGGCATTGATTTAGTTATGTTTGAGTCACTCAGATAGCATAAGAACATGGCATAAGCTATGGCAAAATGTGTAGAGTTGCAGGAAAATAGCTTTAAAACTAAAATGTTCTCACCCCCCCTTTGCCACGAGAACACCATCCCCACTGTCAAACATGGAGGTGGAAACATTATGTTTTGTGGGTGTTTTTCTGCTAAGGGGACAGGACAACTTCACCGCATCAAAGGGACGATGGACGGGGCCATGTACCGTCAAATCTTGGGTGAGAACCTCCTTCCCTCAGCCAGGGCATTGAAAATGGGTCGTAGATGGGTATTCCAGCATGACAATGATCCAAAACACACGGCCAAGGTAACAAAGGAGTGGCTCAAGAAGAAGCACATTAAGGTCCTGGAGTGGCCTAGCCAGTCTCCAGACCTTAATCCCATAGAAAATCTGTGGAGGGAGCTGAAGGTTCGAGTTGCCAAACGTCAGCCTCGAAACCTTAATGACTTGGAGAAGATCTGCAAAGAGGAATGGAACAAAATCCCTCCTGAGATGTGTGCAAACCTGGTGGCCAACTACAAGAAATGTCTGACCTCTGTGATTGCCAACAAGGGTTTTACCACCAAGTACTAAGTCAATGTTTGCAGAGGGGTCAAATACTTATTTCCCTCATTAAAATGGAAATCAATTTATAACATTTTTGACATGCGTTTTTCTGGATGTTTTGTTGTTATTCTGTCTCTCACTGTTCAAATAAACCTACCATTAAAATTATAGACTGATCATGTCTTTGTCAGTGGGCAAACATACAAAATCAGCAGGGGATCAAATACTTTTTTCCCCTCACTGTACCTGTTAATTGAAATGCATTCCAGGTGACTACCTCAAGAAGCTGGTTGAGAGAAGGCCAAGAGTGTGCAAAGCTGTCATCAAGGCAAAAGGTGGCTATTTGAAAAATCTCAAATATAAAATATATTTTGATTTGTTTAACACTTTTTTGGTTACTACATGATTCCATATGTGGTATTTCATAGTTTTGATGTCCTCACTATTATTCTACAATGTAAAGAATTGCAAAAATAAAGAGAAATCCTTGAATGAGTAGGTGTGTACAAACTTTTGACTGGTACTGTATATTTGTGAAAATAATATATGGGGGATTGGAAGTGATGCAGACAATTACATTGATGGATGTTACAATCTATCTGCAATAATAAAGCTGATCTACCCCTAAAAAATTTATATAAAAATACAAAAATTCTCACCCTCCCTTTGCCACTGCTGCTGAAATTTTTTATAGTGGAAACACTGTCTAGTCAAGCCAATAGAGCAGAGCAACTGCTAACTTTGCCTGGACCAGTTCAATCACTACTTATTTAAAACAACCCCTTCCCTGTAAGAAGAAGTATGTCCTAGAATATATCCTAAACGGTAGGCAACAGATAAACCAAACAGGGCTAGGGCTGGGGGAGTCTGGTAGTTGCAGGCCTGGGACTGGGAGGTGGACCACAAAAGGCAGGCTGCCCCTTTGAAAGTGAAGCCTGAGAGGACACAGAGGCAGCACTGTGCTGGCACTGGCAGCTAGTTAGCCATTTTCCCGGCCTCTTTCATTTCCCTAATTAAGCAACAAAGCCTGGCCTCCTCACCCATCCTCCATCCCCAACACACGCTCCTCCTTCAACCCAGGGACCCAGGACTTCACAACCGTGGACACATGTCTGTTGGGCCCGGCCTGGTCCACGTACCGCCTGGGAGTCTCAGAGAGGAGGTCACCAGGGGTTACCAGGTGTCGGATGGACTTGTGAGTTCGGTCGGTTTGAGTCACACTCAGAAGTAGGCTTGGGCGGTATACCGTATATACCTTATATCGGGGTATTTGGAAATAGCCACGGGATGGTTTTTCAATACCATCAATACTGATGAAACTATTTATTTGAAGTTTTTTCTATACATTTGAATATTTGTAGCTACTTTTTAAATAAATACCTGCAGTCAACTTGTGCAATACGTTAGGAGGTAAAGCAGATTGCATTCTTCATTTCACCGGTCACATCTTTCATTATGATGCTTACCGGTAGTCCCCAGTCACGTGGTGTTTGTTTACAAGCACATAACAATGAGAGACTGGAGCCTTGTGAGTCACTCACTGTTGTGCAGCATGCACCAGGTGATCTAGTTACAGTATGGAGTTCACTAAATGTTTTCCAGTTAGATATCTTATAACTATTAAGTTAACTGTCAAAACATTTCTAAATACTTTGCAATTGTGCATTTGGTTTGCTAATTTAGTAGCTAGTTATCTAGCTAAGTGGTTAGCTTCTTGCAAAATCAAGCTTCTCTTGGTAACAGCAGAGAATCCCCTCCTGGATCAAGAGCCTTGCTGGCTAATATTTGTTTTGTGCGTGCAGCAAACTGTGAGTAGCATTTTTTTGTTACTTGTATAACTTTATGAGCTGGGGTTGTCTGTCCTGCTAATAGTTTGTCAGAGATGTTCGCAATGTGCTCGTTAGCATTTAGCTGGCATTGGTTATGGGATTTGACATGTACTTGTTAGCATTGCTAACCTTCGGATTACAGAGGCTCAGTGGGGTTTGAAAATAGCCCACCTTGTGTTCAGTGCCAGTATTACTGAATATCCCGGGATGACACAAGGTCAGTATGAAGGTATGACAATCTGGATACCTCCCAAGCCTAATTAGAAGGACTAATTATTTATGTTTAAAAGCTCCAACCTCACCACAGGAATCTGGTTAAATTTGTTTTATTTATTCATCTTTGTACAGGTAGTCAATTCTGAGACAAAGGTCTTATTTCCAGATGAGACCTGTTTTGCAGAACAAAACATATCAAAATACAATATACACATTAAACTACACATCCATTACACATTAAAATATACATTATTATACACAACAATAGTATGGGGAAGAATTAGCATATGCTTGCATAATGAATCAAAGCCCCCTCAGAAATGGCAGCTAAGAGAGGGGTGGAGTGGACAGCGTGTGACGTCCCTCTTGTTCACATGACACACTTCCACGTCTACCACTTACTAATCTGGGAACCCAGAACCAAAGCTGGCTCGCGCTGGCCAGCTAGACTGTCACAAGAGACTAACCTCCTACAATCGGAATAGCCAGAAACAGTTAATGTGCTGCAAACAGCAGCATCTGCTGTAGCCGTTAGCAACCTCTCCAACAATTAGCTGACTAATGAAGAAGAGTGCTGCACAAAAGAGTGCTGCATGGATGGCACCAGAGAGAGAGACTACACATTATGGCCAGCCATTCATTGCCTGCTATCTGAATCCCATTTTCCTCACTGGAGAAGCAGGGCTCTAACACTTTTATTCACATTTGCCCTAAAGTGCCTGTGCGAAACAGATATTTATTGAGGAACTTCAATAAATTCAAAGTTCTTAACAGCTATGAGACGGAAATGGGGTGCATGGCTTTTTCATAGTTTAGCTTGGGTTTCAATTCTCTTTCTGGATTGTAGAATGTAGTCGCTTAATTGATAGTAGTCCAACATATCCCATCGGGTTCACATCACAAGAGTTAATTTTTATTTTTGAATCAGTCTCTATGGGGGAAGAACACATCAAGGCTAAATTGGCAGAAACAGTAGTAACAGACATAATAGTAAGCACTTAAGGAGGTTCAGCACAGCCTACTGTAGTGTGAATGAATGGTCCTGCTCACATACACCCATGCATGTGTTAGTGTCTGACAACCTACAGCTGTTCAAACAGGGCTTTAGAGACGATCTGGTGGCAGCTAGCATAGCACTCCCTCTGCTTGTTTCAAAGCTCTGCAGATGTGTCAACAACCTAATTATTCTTTAATTAAAAAGTGTAATTACAGTCACAGATGCACAACGGCAGAATTTTCAACATGCCCAGGGTAGAGAAGAACATGGGAGGATGAAAAGTGACATAGCTGCGAGAAGGTTTTAAGAAATTGTTTCAGGGAGAGAGACACAGACCACAGCACACCGGGTCACTTTCTCAGGTCTAATCTCGCCAGAGAATCAGATTGGGAGGATACATTTGGTGACAGCAAGAGAATAGGAAGATTATGTGAATGTCAGTGGTGAGAAAGGTCTACAACATGAGTGTCTTGATCATCTTTGTGTCATTCCCAATTGCATCATATAGTCTATTTTGTTTTTTTATCTCACCAGAAAGATTGAGACACTAAATATTGTGTGATTTGAAATAACAACAGGAAGAATAAGTCCTATGGAGGCTTTCTGTCCCAGGATTAGATAACACCAGACTGCTTATCTTAGAAGATTCAACCTAAACACCAAATAAACAACCCCAAAACCTATCCATCATAACATTTGATTTGATTTTGATTTATTAGGATCCCCATTAGCCGACGCCAATGGCGACAGCGAGTCTTACAGGGGTCCGACACATAACGAAACATACATTACAGACAGACTTTACAATTTAAATACATTTAAAAGACTTTAACTTGTAGTGTGTGTGTGTGTGTGTGTGTGTGTGTGTGTGTGTGTGTGCATCTATCAGTTACACATACATGTCAGTACATACACACAACAAGTAGGTCACTTGGGGGAGAGGCGTTGTGCCGTGAGGTGTTGCTTTACTTGTTTTTTAAAATCAGGTTTGCTGTTCACTTGCGCTATATGAGATGGAAGGGAGTAGCAGGAACATACCTTCAAACTTACATGCTATTCTACTCCATTATGGACTTGTGTAAAGTAAAACCTTCACACAGACAAACCATTATATTCCCTCCAAGAGTTGAAAGGTAAAACGTCTTACTGGCAATGGCAACATACCGTATTACAGCCCTATTCCAGGAAGAGCTGTGAGCATACGTGTGTGTGCATGCATGCTTGTGGTGTGTGTGTGGGGTCAGTAGAAGAAATAGGCTGTGTCGGTCAAGCATCAGAGAGAACTTCATTACTGTGTTCCAGGCAGTAGCCTTTGAGCTTTATCGTGGTTGTTTGAGCATGTTAGCAGCACTAGAGATGGATCAGGGGTTGTTGATGGCACACAGCACTTATATATTATATAAGGCCTCTAATCCTCTGCCTAATTCATATTGGCTCTGCCTCTATCAGCGAGGATGCATGGCTGCTCTGGCCTGGGTTAGCCTGGTAGGCATGGAGGGAAGGGAAGGCAGGGGAGATTGCATGTGGACGTGGTACAGTTGATACTGTATGTGCTGCAAATATGTGCTCAACAAAAAGCCCTCTCTCTTTCTCTCTCATTAAAGCAGTTCAGTTATCACCGTGAGAGGCATTATACAACTGACTGGTTCTTAATGAATTTTCATACATATGAATCTTCCACCGTTACTAGGGAGCAATGTTCCCTCTAAACTGCGTGCGTGTGCAGAAGAATTGCCAAGATTGAACTTGTACACTGTCTTTCTGGCTTTAAACAGATAATATATTTACCTCTACTGTGGAAATTGGGATTGAATCAACATAAGAACAGTCCCTTTCAATGCAACAAACCAAATCTCACTTCAACACTGAGTTGGTGATTTTGTTGTAGGCTGAGGAGCGCGTCGGAGTATCCGCTAGCAGCATGGTCGATCCAGCGTCTGTATTGGCGGTGATGCTGCCTCTGCAGAAGTCAGGGCATTCATACTTCTTGCGCTTCGCAGAGCAGAGCTGTTGTGAAGGAAATTGTCAAGGAAGGGAGTTTGTGTTTATACAGGACGTACCGCCCCCACCTACAGTCAACCGATCATGTCAATGCGGACCTATACAGAGTTATACGGAGCCCTCCGCATTGTTACAAAATTTGGAAGGCGCACGGCATCGCTGTACAGAGCTTGATTTGGCCTCCGCAGACCTCCTCAATTGCGTCACCCGCCCCCCAAGCAGAGACTCCGGACCGAATTTCACCGGATCAAGCATAAATTGGCTTCTATTCTATTTCACGGGCACAAGTGTTTTTTTGGTTTCGGAGAGTAGCCTATATGCGCATTTGAGATCACAAAGCAGAGCCGTGTGTAGTGTGCACATTTGATATTCTTTGCTAGTTAGTGAGTTACTAGCCAGGTTATACAGTGGGGAAAAAAAGTATTTAGTCAGCCACCAATTGTGCAAGTTCTCCCACTTAAACAGATGAGAGGCCTGTAATTTTCATCATAGGTACACGTCAACTATGACAGACAAATTGAGAAGAAAAGAATCCAGAAAATCCCATTGTAGGATTTTTAATGAATTTATTTGCAAATTATGGTGGAAAATAAGTATTTGGTCACCTACAAACAAGCAAGATTTCTGGCTCTCACAGACCTGTAACAACTTATTTAAGAGGCTCCTCTGTCCTCCACTCGTTACCTGTATTAATAGCACCTGTTTGAACTTGTTATCAGTATAAAAGACACCTGTCCACAACCTCAAACAGTCACACTCCAAACTCCACTATGGCCAAGACCAAAGAGCTGTCAAAGGACACCAGAAACAAAATTGTAGACCTGCACCAGGCTGGGAAGACTGAATCTGCAATAGGTAAGCAGCTTGGTTTGAAGAAATCAACTGTGGGAGCAATTATTAGGAAATGGAAGACATACAAGACCACTGATAATCTCCCTCGATCTGGGGCTCCACGCAAGATCTCACCCTGTGGGGTCAAAATGATCACAAGAACGGTGAGCAAAAATCCCAGAACCACACGGGGGGACCTAGTGAATGACCTGCAGAGAGCTGGGACCAAAGTAACAAAGCCTACCATCAGTAACACACTACGCCGCCAGGGACTCAAATCCTGCAGTGCCAGGTTTGTCCCCCTGCTTAAGCCAGTACATGTCCAGGCCCGTCTGAAGATTGCTAGAGTGCATTTGGATGATCCAGAAGAGGATTGGGAGAATGTCATATGGTCAGATGAAACCAAAATATAACTTTTTGGTAAAAACTCAACTCGTCGTGTTTGGAGGACAAAGAATGCTGAGTTGCATCCAAATAACACCATACCTACTGTGAAGCATGGGGGTGGAAACATCATGCTTTGGGGCTGTTTTTCTGCAAAGGGACCAGGACGACTGATCAGTGTAAAGGAAAGAATGAATGGGGCCATGTATCGTGAGATTTTGAGTGAAAACCTCCTTCCATCAGCAAGGGCATTGAAGATGAAACGTGGCTGGGTCTTTCAGCATGACAATGATCCCAAACACACCGCCCGGGCAACAAAGGAGTGCTGACTAAATACTTTTTTCCCCCACTGTAGCTAATTTTGGTCAGCAATGCGGGAGTGATTGCTTCCTACAAGAGCACAAAACTTGTACATATCTAACTGTCTTTAAAAAGCGAGACAGGTGAACTTTTTTGGTCTTAAAGGGGCAGTGTCCTGTTTTGAGACAGGCCTGAATATGCAAATAAGCCAATAGTCAGAGGGTAGCATACATTTTTGTATGATTCTCTGTAGGTAATAATAATAACAATGAATACAATTTTGTAAAGTAGTTTCTTGCATCATGTAACACAATACAATGCAACTTTTAGTCACCTACTCTATTTGGCCAATTGTGTTACAGATAATTTATTATATTTATAAAGTGACTTGAGCTTTCGGACAAGTAAAACATCAGTCCTAAAATTGGTAATGTCAAGCCATGCATAATGTTACAATTTTTTAATGTAGGCCTACATTGAACACCACGTATTGGCTATTGTAGACGATATCATAGTCAACAGCTATATCCATGTGGAAATGTTATGGCATTTGCTTCATTGGTTTTGTTGATAGGTCACTGATAGGCCTACATTATGCTTAAATAGCCACAATAGCCTATTGGCCACTGTCTGAAACTGTAACTTAAAGCGGGTACAGCCTCAGTGTTCACAGTTAATAATGCGCACCGGAATTCGCACAGAATGCTCGCAAACTAAAGTTCCCGCTCACAAGAACTGAAATTTGATGTGCCACATTTTTGTTTTTTAGGAAACATTGCTAGGGGGTAACACCAACTGCTGTTTCAAAACAGAAAATGACTGATTGGATGTGGTGTTTTCCCCAAGCTGGGACAACTATACTGACAGCTGTTCTGATGGATAGCTAGATCAACATCTACAGTGTCTCTCTGCTTGTTACTGGACTTCCCCTCACAACACCTATGACCCATATTCATGACAAATGTTTGAACACCAGACTCAAGGTATTTATTTTCCTTGGACAAGCAGCATGTTATACATGTTAGCTGGGTTTTATCTATTGACCAGTTGACGGGGTCCCTGGCTCTTTTCAACTATGGGATCCAGATTGATTGGATGAAGATTGATTTAAAGCACCATACAATATGTATGGCAGCCATCTTATGCCACATTGGGTTCCCATTTGCTGGGTGTTAAACAAGGTCAGTTCATTTCCGTTGACAAATTGATGTGTTCATGCTATCACAGTCCCAGAGAAGCCACTTGAATTTGAGAGGCTTGAAATGGACTGAGGGCATTTTGTTGTGTAATTGGATTAGATGTTCAAGTGAGAGGACTGTGAGATAAACTCAATCATGTTTTTGTTGCCGTTCACCCACCGTTGCCTCGCTCACCTTCTAATAAATCAAATGCCTGAGACATCATCCCCTCGTTCATCGAAAACAAATAATGGAATTGTGTTAATTAGAAATGTTAAACCCCTCTAGGCACGTAATACTAAAGAACAGCGGCCACACACACACACACACACACACACACACACACACACACACACACAGAACATCGAACACAACTACACACACTTTACTTATACATTCACACACAGTGATGCACAAATATTGAATCACAGAATAATACATGCAGATACCAGTGCACACACTTTAACACACACACACACACACACAGCGCATCGCAGCAGCTATGTCAGGATCGATCAGCCGTAGACAGTGGAGGCCCAGGGGAAAGATGGCAGATAATGGTTTAAAGCACAACTCTTTTGTGTCCCTCCTGGCTCACACAGTCAAAAACACAGGCACACAGTGGAGCGCAAGCCTGCCTGTATGCTGCAAAGTGTGTGTGTGTGTGCTGCAAAGTGTGTGTGTGTGTGTGTGTAAAGTGGATGATTCTCTATATCCACTTATTTTCTCCTCCAACAGAAATCAAATATTTGATTTAGTCTCTCTTCAAAGTAGAAGAGAGGAAGAAAAGACAGACTTGTGTAGTTCCCTGTAGACACAACCCGCCTCTTCCCTCTGTTCTGTTAGTGTACTGCTACACGCCAGCACAGTACATTCAGCTAGTGTACTGCTACACGCCAGCACAGTACATTCAGCTAGTGTACTGCTACACGCCCAGCACAGTACATTCAGCTAGTGTACTGCTACACGCCAGCACAGTACATTCAGCTAGTGTACTGCTACACGCCCAGCACAGTACATTCAGCTAGTGTACTGCTACACGCCCAGCACAGTACATTCAGCTAGTGTACTGCTACACGCCCAGCACAGTACATTCAGCTAGTGTACTGCTACACGCCAGCACAGTACATTCAGCTAGTGTACTGCTACACGCCCAGCACAGTACATTCAGCTAGTGTACTGCTACACGCCCAGCACAGTACATTCAGCTAGTGTACTGCTACACGCCCAGCACAGTACATTCAGCTAGTGTACTGCTACACGCCCAGCACAGTACATTCAGCTAGTGTACTGCTACACGCCCAGCACAGTACATTCAGCTAGTGTACTGCTACACGCCCAGCACAGTACATTCAGCTAGTGTACTGCTACACGCCCAGCACAGTACATTCAGCTAGTGTACTGCTACACGCCCAGCACAGTACATTCAGCTAGTGTACTGCTACACGCCCAGCACAGTACATTCAGCTAGTGTACTGCTACACACCCAGCACAGTACATTCAGCTAATGTACTGCTACACACCCAGCACAATACATTCAGCTAGTGTACTGCTACACACCCAGCACAGTACATTCAGCTAGTGTACTGCTACATACCCAGCACAGTACATTCAGCTAGTGTACTGCTAAACGCCCAGCACAGTACATTCAGCTAGTGTACTGCTACACACCCAGCACAGTACATTCAGCTAGTATACTGCTACACACCCAGCACAGTACATTCAGCTAGTGTACTGCTAAACGCCCAGCACAATACATTCAGCTAGTGTACTGCTCCACACCCAGCACAGTACATTCAGCTAGTGTACTGCTACACACCTAGCACAGTACATTCAGCCTGACTTCTCCTGCCTTCTTTACCTGCTCTCTGACACAGAAGAGGCTCTTGGTCCTGTAGGAATAAGAGGCTCCATTAACTGTACTGCATGGTATTGTGGTGGAGTTACATTGTTTAAAAAGCTGTATGTGCCCCCGGGGTCAGTCCTGCTCTTTAGCTAGCAAGGGCCAAGGGGGCTCAACCAGCCTCTATACGGTGAAGAGGCTGCTGCAGCAGAGGCTCAGTACAGCCAGGGGCAGAAGGGCAAGCCTGGGTCATTAGCAGAGAGCATTCCAGCCCTCTCAGCCAGCTACACACACACACACACACGCCACCCCCCAAGGTAAACCCTTTCAAATAGGATCAGGGAGCCAACCATATGGTTGCCGCCTAACAACGGAGGATAATTGGGAGAAGGATGTGCTTGGCTGGCTAGCTAGGAAGGAGATAAGCTTGACAGTAATGCTGAAGGAAACTAGGTAGCAGCCGCAAGAAAAACTACACCCACTACAAGGAAAACAAAATCAACGTTAATGGCAGAAAAGGAACAATTACATCCAGTGCGGCTGCTGCTCTGAAGGACATGATTGATTATTTTGTTAGTTGCAGAGGCCCTGAGTCAGCAAAAACCTGGGTGAGGGAGCTGGGGAGGGAACACACACACACCAATTGAAAGGTAGCCCTGCTAATTGAGAACGAGATACTGGTCCATGCAGTTCACTGTGTGATCTCTCCAGGGCAGACCTTTACTTGACGTCAGCAGGAGGTGGCGAGTGGCAGCCTGGACTGTGCCAAGAGGAAGGTGTCACACACAGATAGCACGGCCTACAGCAGCACAGACACACCCAAGGCTCCCCCTTACCACCCCACAAGCCTAGCCACCCCTTACAACCCAGGCTAGCCACACATAATTTTTTTTCCCCCACTCTACGGAAAACAAGTCACAGTAAATGCTAGCCAACTGCTGCGTCTGTGTCAAAACCTCTGGCTGTTGATGACACTACCTTTCAGATTAGTTGAAAGGAAACATCAATCTATTGGACGGTTCGTCATGGTTTATCAACAGTAGAGGAAAGGGTTCAGGATTACATTTTGGAATCCTGATTGATAGATTTTATTTTTTGGGGGGAAAGATGCACTGAGTACTATGCTGGGGATAACATGCTAAAGTGAAGTTCACTTGTTTCCAATATGGTCCCTGGTTTTGGGACCATCCTGCCATGGTCCCAAAACACATTCAACAGTTGAATAGATTCTCTAAGGACACCTGTTTCTCTGATATCCGCGGTTCTGATTGGCCTAGGCCATTAAGGCTAGGAGAAACTCCCCCTCCTTGATTTGTGGGAAGTGTGGCCTTCCACTGAAATATCCACCTGCAATTTACTGCATCACCATTAGTTTCAAGCAGGCAATTTAAGTCGGAAAATTCAACCTTAATCACATAAAGCAATACAATTAATTTACTTTGGAAATTATTGGAAACATCAGTTAATAAATGCATTTCAAAGTACCATATTATTATCAAATGTTATGCTAGTGCTTTTTGACTGTCATCGCAACATAAGCTACAGTAATTTTTGTTATGCAAATGGTATAAGTAGCAGTCACTGTTCCTGTTGTTTTAACAAAAATGTTATTACTAAAGTCCTATATAACAATATGTTAATACTACAGTGTTACTACACAGTTATAATAGCAATTTCAAGCCCAAGAGTTACCCAGTCTTCTTTCAATGTGTCAATCAAAAAGCTATTATCATAGTTCAATGAGCATACAACTCATATGCAGGAAGTATTGCCCAACTGGCATTTCAAGTATAATAGAACTTCACTAGTAGCACAATGGACATTATTAACTGCCAGTTGGTCTCAATTGACAAACACTATCTAATGTGGCCTATTGCTACAGAGAATTGAGCAGCATTGTTTGGAGCTTCATACAGATGAAATACTTATTTTAAAAAAACACAGTCAAATTAATGACTACTTGCACCATCTCCTGTATTGAGCCACTTATGGAGCCAGATAATGCTTTAGAAAATTGGGCCGTGCCGCCCAGGGAGGGACTGTAGTGGTAGAAGATGGGAACACTAATGGAGGACGACGACACATGGTTTTCCTGCTCCCTGACGGAGAGGCAATCAAATGCTGTCACGCAGGGATCTAGTGGGGTTCCACTGAGCATGCCTGCAAACATCTTTATCTTTAACTCCCCTCTCTGCTCTGAGAGGACAGGAAAAACAATGTGCAGTGTGTGTGTGTGTGTGTGTGTGTGTGTGTGTGTGTGTGTGTGTGTGTGTGTGTGTGTGTGTGTGTGTGTGTGTGTGTGTGTGTGTGTGTGGAAAAGAGGGTTGGACAGTTTAGGTAATTTAAGGTGCTTTCAGACAATTTTTGTGCACTTAGTGCGGTTCGCTTAATTTTTTGTGCAGTGTGAACACTCCAAAGGAACTCTCAGACTCCTCAAAACAACCCCTGAAGCGAACCGAACTGAGACCTTCCCGAGAGGTGGTCCGAGTTCGGTTCGCTTGAAGTCCGCGGTCCGATTCCCTTTTTTAGAGCAATGTGAACACAAAGCTCTCCAGGATCGCTTGCCGTTATTCCAGCACCACACACTAGGCTACTGTAACACGTTTTCCCTTGCCATAACCCTTAGCATTGGTGCCACAAACGAGAGAAGATGCAGGTTGGCATAAAATAACGTGCTGTTTTTGGACATTGAGTAGGGATTGTCAAGGACGCACAGAAATTCCAAAAAAGGTTTGTCCTGACACAATGTTTTGATTATTTGTTTGCGACATGTGGTCTATAGACTTCGAAAGAGCTTCATCAGCTATTTATTTGATTGTGGGGTTTGAATAATGTGAGAAAGCGACAACATATTTGGTGAGAATCACATCATAGGGATACAAAATCAATGCAAGCTCTTAAAGGGGCAATAGCCTACATTGAGTGTACTTTTCAATTATAGCATTATTCAATCTGCAGTTTTTCTTCTGCTATTTATCCTGTTACAAGTAATATTTACATGTAAATATTATTGTCTTATCTTTTTAACTAAATGCAATCTATTAGCTTTCTAAACGGTATGGCTTGTCCTGAAGTATGTAATTACCCAGAGTACATTGAATTAATGTTGGAAAAATATATTGGCTCCTTACTAAACATAGTAATGTGAATAGAAAGAGGACACGGACAACAAAATGTTTAAAGTGAACTGGCAAGAGAGCTGAGTCCTCAAAGGCAAGGGCAGTGTGAATACAAAGAGAACTGAGTTATTTATCTTTTTTTCACCCCAGAGTTCACTTTAAAGAGGACTGAGATTGGTTATTTTAAAGAGGACTATATGTGAAAACACCCTTAGATGTTGGGCTCCCCTCTCCCTCCCCTTTTCTCTCTTCCTGTTCCTCAGAGCCTTCTAAGTGATGGCCTTATCTGCCATCTGCCCAGCTTCCACATTTCCTCAGGATGCTGTAATCAGCCAAGGCTCTCTCTCTCTCTCTAAGTTATCCCATGTCAGCTTGCCTTGCAGTGGGCCAATATCCAGGGATATAAGTACTACCTCAGCTCTAGCGCATGGATCACAGAGCGCACTGGGCTGGGCTGGCTCGTTAGTCGTGGGCATTCCTGACCCTCCTCCATGGCAATTCCACGACTGTCAACCAAACACTGAGTCACGCCAGCTGATCACCCGAGGTGGCGGACCACAGGTGGTACATCTTGCTGTATGTGAAGACAGGTTTGTGTGTGGAAGAGTCTGGAGTGACTACAAGAGGTCCATATTGGGCAAGAAGGACCCTCTGTCTGTAACAAACCAGTAAGAACAGTGGATTTGTAGCCTACATCTTGCCCCAGTGTTGAGGAAAACCTAGCAGTTAGTGGCATATGATATTTCCTTTCACCTAGGGACCATCTCAGGTCAGCTAAATAGAAAGCCACAACCTCCCCAACGGTTAAAAAAAGAGATGGAAAAATGTGTTGATTTGCAGGTAAATATGAATCCCTAGATCCCTATTCTCAGGAGGCCGATGGGAAATGCTCTCTTTTGGAAACGTGCTCAC